TAAATGCGCGTGGCAGGTAAGGAAAATATGCCCCCAGGGGGGTACGATCGAAGACGACGAGGGCGGGTACCGAGGCTTTGGGATATACGTATTGGATGGCACGTGTGCATACAGGAGCGGACAGTCCTAAACTGATTGTTGTTGTTGTGATTGTTGTTGTCGTGGTCGTCGTCATCGTCGTCGTCGCTGTTGTTATTAATGTTGTTGCTGTTTTTGTTGCTGTTCTAGAAGTCTCATTTCTAAAGAAAAGTATCGTCGACCCCCTCCCTCCGAGGCACATTGTGTTTTTCAATTGGAGCGCCCCTCCCGGGGCCCGCACCCCGCTTTCAATCAGGGCAAGTCTTGGGTCTCAGAATTGGGTTGTTGGCCCCCGGTGCGCAACAACAGCGGCTCCCGCCTGATACTTACGCACAAGTCTAGACGCTTCGCGTATCCCCACCAGCAGTGTATTGACGGCGCGCGCCTCCTCCGCTTGCGCTCGCGAACAAAAAATCAAATCCCCACCAGCCCATTCAGAAACGATGTCCAGGCGAGTTGAGGTGATCAGGGAAGTGCGGGAGCAAAGAGGGGGACGGCCGAACCGTGCGAAGGAGGGAGTAGGAAGAGGAGGCTGGATGGATGGATGAGGGAATGGTGAGAATCAGGATAAATAGGATGATGATGCTGATGATGATGATGATGAAGCTGATGAAGATGATGAAGATGATGATTATGATGATGATGATGATGATGGTGATGATGATGCTGATGATGATGCTGATGATGATGCTGATGATGATGCTGATGATGATGATTATGATGATGACGATGACGATGACGATGACGATGGTGATGATGATGATGATGTTGATGATGCTGATGATGATGCGGCTCCTGATGATGATGATGGTGATGATGATACTGATAATGATGATGATGATGATGATGATGATGCTGCTGATGATGATGATAATAATGATGATAATGATGATGCTGATGCTGATGCTGATGCTGATGATGATGGTGATGATGATGCTGATGATGCTGATGATGCTGATGCTGATGATGATGATGATGATGATGCTGCTGCTGATGATGGTTATGATAATAATAACAATAATAATAATTATAATTATAAAAATAATAATATTATTATTAATAATAATGATAATAATAATATTAATAATAACAATAATGATGATGATGATGATGATGATGATGATGATGATGATGATGATGATGATGATGATGATGATGATGATGATGATGATGATGATGATGATGATGATGATGATGATGATGATGATGATGATGCGGATGCTGCTGATGCTGCTGCTGCTGATGATGATGATGATGATGATGATGATGATGAGGAGGAGGAGGAGGAGGAGGAGGAAGAGAAGGAGGAGGAGGAAGAGAAGGAGTAGGAGGAGGAAGGAGGAGCAGGAGGAGGAGGGTAAGCAAAAGGGCCAGAGGTCTCTTGGATGCCTCTCGGAGCCTCTTGCGATATCTTTTGGGTGCTTCTCGGTGGGCTCTTGGGACGTCATGGGGGTCTCTCGGCGGTCCTGGGGGTTTCTTGGGCGTCTTGGGTGCCTCGGGGTGGCCTCTTGGGGCCGCTTGGGATCCTCTTGGGGGCCTCCTGGGGGCCTGTTGGGGGCCTCTTGGGGCCATCTTTGGGCCACCTTGTGGCCTGCCTCTTGGGGCCTTCTGGGCGCTAATTGGGGCCCTCTTGGAGGACATCGATCAAACAAGAGGGGAGCTCATTTTAGCCCTGCCCCCCAAGCGGCCAAAATGGGGCCCAAACCGTCGTAAAACCAATGATTTTGGCTTCCTCGCCGAGGCCGTTTTGGACGCCCTGACCGCTCGCGGCCCCCCCCGTCCAGGTCGAGTGGAGGCAGCCGAGCCGCCCGGAGCGAGCGGGGCCCCCTGCGTGCGCTCCGCCGGCCGGTCTCTTCCTCTCCCGCTCCCGTGCCGCCTCGCTTCCTCGCCCCCCTGCCTCTCGCGCCCTCCCTCTCTCCCTCTGCCTCTCTCTCCCTCTCTCCCTCTGCCTCTCTCTCTCTCTTTCTCCCCTTCCTCTGTCTCTCCCCCTCTCTTGCTTTCTCTCCCCCTTTTTTTTTGTTTGTTTCTCTCTCTCTCTCTCTCCCTCTCTCCCTCTTCTCTCTCCCCCTCTTCCCCTCTCCCCCTCTTCCCCTCTCTCCCTCTCCCCCTCTCTCCCTCTCCCCCTCCCCCTCGCGCTCTCCCTCCCCATCTCTCCCTCCCTGTCTCTCTCGCCCGCCCGTGCACCAGCCATTTGGGCTCAGGACACCTTGACTCCGGGGCCGTGCTGGCCTCCTGCGCGCGGCGCTGCTCTCCCAGACCGAGCGGGCGGAATGGGCAGGAGCCGCAGCAGGAGCCGGAGCAGGAGCCGCAGCCGCCGCAAGGACAGCCGCAGCCCGAGCCGGAGCCGCAGCGGCGGCCGCGACGCGAGGCCCAAGAAGCCCGACGACTACGGCGTGGACAGCATCAAGATCACGGACGACGACGCGGCGTTCATCCTGGGCAAGGCCTGGCCCGTCCGCTGCGCGTGCCGCTGGGGCCCCCTGCTTCTTCCTCCTCCCCCGCCGCGCGTCGCGAAGCCATGGCGACCGGATTTGGTTCTCGTTGCTGTTTTTAGGCCCTCGCGAGGCCCCGGGGCCGTCAAGTAACGAGCCGGGATGAAGAGTCGGTCCCGGGGAGTGGGTCGAGACTTCCGGGGGTCGCTGTCGTCGATGTCGCCGCAGTCCCCTGGGATCCAGGCATCGTAGTTGTTTTCACAAACAACGTTTTCGCCCGGTGTCGTGCCCCAGGACCATCATCATCACGGATCGATCCGGCCCGAAACATGCAGCAGAATGATGGGGTCTAGGCCCTAGACTCCTAGGCCCTGGACCCTAGACTCTAGGGTCCAGGGCTCGGGTCGTGCTTTCCTGCAGTGTTGCATTTTTCAAGGGCTCCCTCGAGGGCGCGAGGTTATTCACAGACACAGACACACAGGCAACACAGACACACAGACACACAGACAACACACAGACACAGACAATACACAGACACCACACAGACAACACACACAGACAACACACAACACACACAACACACAATGCACGTGGGCAGGGGGAGGCAAATAGCGAATGCGACTGATGGCACATCTGGGACCCCATGAACAAGTACGTTGGCAAAGACAAAGGCCTTCACGATGCCCTCGTCAGAAGGAAGGGCCCAAACAGTGTAGGTTGGAGCCTGTAGGTAGCAAGGGGTTTAGAGGTACCCGTCGGCGCAATACTATTTTTGTCGAGCACCACCGCGACGGTGATCCAAACTTGTGGTCCTGACATCTGCCACCCACATCGGCAGCCGCCTGTCCACCTCCTTCCGCCCTTTCGTGCCCGTGCACGCAGGCATCCTCGGGACCCCATGAGCACAGAGCTATCGCTCTCACTCCTGTGCTGCCCCGCTCGCCCTGGCGCGCCTCCCCGCGCAAGGGCGGCAAGACGAAGGAGAAGATCGCCCGCGTGTCCGAGTGCGAGATCGAGCTGTTCGAGAGGGACCTCGTCCTCGAGTTCCGCGGCTCCAAGCTCGAGAGGCGCAGGGCTCCAAGATCCCAAATCGAATATCCCCACATCCCAAACCAACATCCCAGGATCCAAGATCCACGATCCCACCCTCCAAGTCCAAGACCCCCAAATCCCAAACCCAGGCACCCAAGTCCAGGCGCCCAACTTCCAAAAATCCAAGACCCCCAGATCCCAAACGCAGGACCCAGGACCCAAGACCCAAGATCCCAGCCTCCACATCCAAGACCCCCACATCTCAACGCCAGGAGCCAGGATCCAGGAGCCCAACTTCCAAAAATCCAAGACCCCCAGATCCCAAACCCAGGACCCCGGATCCAAGATCCAAGATCCCAGCCTCCACGTCCAAGACCCCCAAATCCCAAAGCCAGGAGCCAGGAGCCAGGATCCAGGAGCCCAACCCCCAAATCCAAGATCCCACACTCCCAAACCCAGGACCCTGGATCCAGGATGCAAGATCCCAAAGCCAGGAGCCAGGAGCCAGGATCCAGGAGCCGAACCTGCAAATCCGAGATCCCACACTCCCAAACCCAGGACCCAGGCCCCAAGACCCAGGATCCCAAGATCGGGGGATCCTGGCGTTTGCGTTCTCACAATTGACACGATGACTGTCTGTTCCCGCTGCTGTGGGCTCCCGTCCCCATGGGGGGACGGTTGCCACGAGCGCGTGGTCGCTCATTCGCTTGCGCCGCCGAGGCCCAGAGCACTCCAGAGAACTCCCGAGTGCCCACTGGTCCAGCTTCCCAAGATCCCAGCCCAAGACACGAGATCCAACCTCTCAGAGGAGCACCAGGACGGCGCCGGCGTGCCTGGCCCGGCCCGGCGCGCCCCCAGGGAGTAGGAGGAGGAGGAGGAGGAGGAGGAGGAGGAGGAGGAGGAGGAGGAGGAGAGCAGGAGGAGGAGGAGGAGGAGGAGGAGGAGGAGGAGGAGAGAGGAGGAGGAGGGAGGAGGAGGAGGAGAGGAGGAGGAGGAGGAGGAGGAGGAGGAGGAAGCCCCCCCCCCGGCCTCGGCGGGGAGGGCGTGCACGCCATGCCAGGGCCAAAAGGATGGCTCCGGTCGGGCTGGTGTCGGCCTCGCGCCAGGAGGGGGGGGGCGCGGGCGGGCCGAAGTGTAAGATCGAGGTCGGCTCAGGCAGGGTACCCTGATGTGCTTCGTGCTTGTTGGGTGTTTTTGTGCGTCCCGGGGGAGGGCAGCCTCGAGTGATCTTATGGTTTGGGATGTTTTGGCCAGCGGATGGTCTCTCATGTTGTTGAAGGATGTTCTTTTGTATTCGGTCCGACCGTACCCAGAGATCCGACGCTCCCCCAAAAATGGGAGCTGCGGGCTTTTGGCCGATTTCGGACTCCGGGGCCCTCGCAGGGCCTCGGGGCCGTCAAAAACGGCTCCAGACGAAAAACTGGCCCCAGGGAGGTGGTCCAGACCTCCAGGGCTCGCGCATCGAAAAAGTTTAAGCGGCCGGATGTCTGGGGTGGGGGGTGGGGGAAGGCTTCTTAAAAGCACCCTTGCTTCTTAGAAGGTGCGGGCCTGATCTATATATGTAGGGCCAGCACCTTCCAAGTCGCAGCTTCCTTCTGAGGAGCCTCCCCCCTTCCCTTGTCGCGTTGTGTGTGCGCGCCGCCAATGGCGTATCGGTGTTTTTTCTCATAGGCATTCGATTTCGATGCTCCGACGATCCAGTGTCGGCTCGATGCTTGCACGGCGCTGTTGTGTATCCTGGCGCAGCCGATCCGATCCGAGCCCGACTCCGTTCCGATGCAGCCCCATCCGACGCACATTCCCATCCGATCCGAGTCCCCGATGCGATGCTGACTGTCGGCGGCGCGCTCAGGGCGGAAGGATGGGGCGGGCCTTTTCAGAAGGCTCAGAAGGCCTCCGGCCTTCTGACAAGCTTTCTGAGCCTTCTCCGAAGCCACAGGGGGCTCCTCAGACGGCTGGAGGGCTTCCAGGAAGCCCCGCCGCCTTCTGAGAAGGCCCGCCCCCTCTCACTTCCCCCCCCGGCGCGCGGCCGCGACCGATCCTGGAGGCGCAGGGCCAAGAAGTACGCGGAGGGGGTCATGGCCCAGCGCACCGGGCCCGTCGGGATCACGGAGGACTACGACACGCAGGAGGAGGAGGCGGAGGCGGAGGAGGAGGAGGAGGAGGAGGAGGAGGAGGAGGAGGAGGAGGAGGAGGAGGAGGAGGAGGAGGAGGAGGAGGAGGAGGAGGAGGAGGAGGAGGAGGAGCGGAGGAGGAGGAGGAGGAGGAGGAGGAGGAGGAGGAGGAGGAGAGAGGAGGAGGAGGAGGAGGAGGAGGAGGAGGAGGAGGAGGAGGAGGAGGAGGAGGAGGAGATCGGCTACGCTCGAGGAGGAGGGAGGAGGGGGGAGGAGGAGGGAGGATGGAGCACAGGGATAGGACGAGGGAGAGGAGGAGGAGAAGGCGGAGGATAAGGATGAGGAGGATGAGGAGGATGAGGAGGATCAGTAGGAGGAGGATGAGGAGAGGGAGGATGAGTAGGAGGAGGAGGATGCAGGAGGAGGAGGAGGAGGAGGAGGAGGAGGAGGAGGAGGAGAAGGAGGAGGAGGAGGAGGAGGAGGAGGAGGGAGGCGGGAGGAGGAGGAGGAGGAGGAGGGAGGAAGAGGAGGAGCAGGAGCAGGAGGAGGAGGAGGAGGAGGAGGAGGAGGAGGAGGAGGAGGAGGAGGAGGAGGGAGGATGGAACGGCTACGCTCGAGGAGGCGGGAGGGAGGAGGGAGGAGGGAGGAGGACGAGGGATGAGGGATATGAGGAGGGGGAGGAGTATGAGGAGTATGAGGATGAGGAGGACGAGGAGCAAGAAGAGGAGGATGAGGAGGAGGATGACGATGAATATGATGATGAAGACGATGCTGATGCTGCTGATGATGATAATGGTGACGATGATGATGCTGATGATGATGGCGCTACTGCTGATGATGACGATGATGAGGATGAGGAGACTGCTGCTGCTGATGATGCTGCTGATGTGGTTGCTGATGATGATGCTGATGCTTAGGCTGTTAATGATTATGATGATGCTGCTGATGTTGACGACGGAGGATTATGAGAATGCTGCTGTTGTTGTTGCTGTTGTTGATGATGATGATGATGATGATGATGATTATGATGATGATGATGCTGATGATGATGATAATGATGCTGATGAGGAGGATGCGGATGCTGATGATGCTGATGATGATGACGATGTTGTTGATGCTACTGCCGATTATGATGATGATGATGCTGATGATGACAATGATGATAATATTAAGGATTATGATGATGACGCTGCTGCTGCTGATGATGATGATGATGATGATGATGATGCAGATGCTGATGATGATGCTGATGACGATGATGAGGATTATAATGCTGCTGATGATGATGATGATGACGCTGATGATGACAACGATTTTGATGATGGTGATGGTGATGATGATGATGATGACGATGCTGCTGCTGCTGATGATGATGATGCTGATGATGATGTTGTTGTTGATAATGATGATAGTGGTGCTGGTGGTGTTGGTGATGATGTATATTTTAAAATGGTTGATGATGCTGCTGCTGATGCTGCTGCTGATGATGAGGAGGAGGATGAGGAGGAGGAGGAGAAGAAGGAGGAGGATGGGGCAGATCAGATCGGACAGTTGGAGCGGACAAGGTTGGCGCCTCCCAGAAGGAAAGGCTGGAGGGCAGACCCTGCACCTCCCAGAACAGAGAGCGCAGCACAGGGCTCCCAGTATGCCAGAAAGCCCAGTCTTCAGTCAGCGGCTGCCGTCCCTGCCCAGGCTCACACTGCTCCGCGGCACGGCCATCGAGGAGGAGGTCGTGGGCGAAAAACATATCCGTATCCACGGCCTCGCGGCTACGGGGCGCCTTTTCGCGGATGCCGCGCGCGGCGTGTACCCTTGCGACTGAATACCCGAGGGAGCACGCCCCAGAATCCAGACCGTGAGGGCGTGGCAGCGGCGCCACATAGTGTGTGCCGAGGGTATCGCGACGCCCGGCAAAAGGTCGCAGGCCCTTGCAGTGAGCGCGCCTTTTTGTCAGCGACGGTCCATGGGTAACCACGCATGCGAGGCTTTGATTCTTTCGGTGCGGGCTCCCCAGAAGTCCCGACCCTTTCCCCGGGACCGGTTTTCCATGCCGAGTGGGCTTTCGACGGTCCCGTCGCCCGGCGAGGGCCCGCACAGGCCAACAGGAACGACGAAGTACGTCCCGTACCGATTTTTGGCACGGCGCGAGCATGCCTGGGCGTGGACACGTTCGCCACTCGTGAGGAGGGAGGGCGTGGGTACCGCCTCCAGTCCCGCGCGCGGTGCGGCCCGCGAGGAGGCGGAGGTCGACGGGAAGGGGCTGCCTCGGGGCCTCCTTCGAGCCACCCTGCCTCGTGCGGGTGCCAGTGTACAACTCGTGCAGCTCCTCAACCCTCAGGTCTTGGCGTTGATTTTTTTTTCACAGCGGGAGCTGTCCCTCGGCTTCGAGCCCTGGGACCCTCACAGGTCGATTTGGCTTGGAAAGCGACGCAGAAAGATGGTGCCCAGGGCTCCGGTCGCGGTTTTTCTTTCGCGAGGCTGCTTTCTTTTGTCGGGGGAGCGTAAGACCCGGGTTTGCCGGGACTCGGGTTCGCCATCGTTTTTTGACGACCGCGACTCGGATTTGACGAGGAGGAGTTTCGTGGGATGTCTGCAGCGGGAGGCCTCGTCAAAATGCAGGCTCGGCCTCGTCATTTTTTTGACGACCTCGTCGGGGATTTCCGGGTCCCCTGTACCCAGGTCTTACGTTCCCCTGATTTTGTAACGTCAGATCTGAGGGAAGGTCAATCGGGGCACAAAAAACGGCATACATATAATTTTTCCGAGGTCCGCGCGGAATGCTTGGATCGGCGATTGGCCCTCCTGGCGGGCCTCCAGCGCCGCTCTTTTGGCGCGCTCCGCGCGCCATGGAGGGGGTCCAGCGCCGTCCCAAGGAATCCGCGGGAACCTCGGAGAAATTATTGTCATGCCGCTCTTTGTTCCCCTGCTTAAAAGGACGCGAGTCAGGCGAGCCAGGAGGTCGGGCTTGACCTCCGGCTCCTTGGCCTTCTGACCGTGAGCCCGGCGCCCTGTCTGCTCCTCCCTCTTCAGGTTCACGGTCTTCTGCGTCGAGGCGTGGCGCTCCGGCGCCATCTCGGCCAGCAGGGCCGCCTCCTCCCTCTTCCGGCGGGTCCCGTGCAGTTGATGCAGGCCTCCAAGATCGTGGGTCAGCTGCGCACCTCCATCTTGACATTCACGATCTGCTGCTTCAAGCCGTCGTTCTCCAGGATCTGCTGCTTCAAGCCGTCGTTCTCCAGGATCTGCTGCTTCAGGCCGTCGTGCTCCAGCTTCATCTCCTCCACGCTGTTTGCCTCCACCTTCCAGGTGTGGCAGTGCGAGCGCCGCGCAGGCGCCCGAGGTCGAAGAGTCGCAGGGCATCCGGGCGGCGCGGCACGACCTCCGGCTCCCTGCCCTTCCCTGGCGCGCGGACTGCAGCGCCTCTTTTAAGCTCAAGATCTTCCCTCGAGTAGGGGGTCGCCTACAAAATTGATCTACCCCAGAGATCATTTTTCCCATTGCATCTGCGATGAAGGCGTATCGTTTTCGCACGTCTGCTGGGAGTTCGAAGCATCTTCTCCGTAGATTCGACGAGAGAACGTACTCTGGGGCAAACCAATTCCGCAGTCGATCCCCCCCTCGACTCGCGTGCTGCTGCGCGTCCTCCTCGGTCGCCATGGCGAGGTTCAGGCGCTCGAGCACCGGCGCCCCGGCGCGCGCAGCTCGGGCGCCCCTCCGTGCTGCTCTTCTCGGGCCGTGGCGGCTCCATGATGGACTCCGCCTCCCGGACCTCTACAGTCGGGGCGCTGAAGAAGGAACCCTTTTCGTTTGGGAGGGGCTCAGTGTTCCTTAGTTGTTTTGCAGCTCGCCCTAGGTTGTCCTTAGGTCTTCGATCGGAATTCGAAGCTTAACTTATGGAAAAAAGGGGCCTCGTTCCTTACTTAGGGTTCCTTAGATCAACGCCCCGACTGTGCTGCGCTCGTGCGAGCGACGGAAGCCAACGGGGTCCACGGCGCCGACATTTGCGCGCAAGCTTCCCGCGCAAGGCCGCGCGCACGTGCCCTCCGCTCTACGCGGGTGTGCCACGCTGGCGGCCCGCGGCAGCCGCGGCGTGAGGTCGAGATGCCCCCTCGCTGAAGACCCGTTTGTTTTCGTCGCCCGTGTGGTGGCTCTCGTCTTGCAGGGCCTCGAGGGCGATCCTCGCCTTCACAATCATTTCGTTCTACGCTGTCGCCATCCTCCCTCGCCTCGGCGATCTTCAGCTGCTCTGCGCGGGAGCAGCTAGCGCGTGCAGTTCAGGTTGGCGTTCAACCTGTGCGTCTCGAGCTCGGAGACATCCACCTCCAGGCCAGCCAGGTCGCTGGTTCGGTGTCGGGCTTTATTTCCTTTTTGGGTTCATCCGCGATTCTGGGTTCGTCGCCACGGGGTCCATGCGGCGAAGATGAGGAAGGGATTCTCCCCACCACCTGAAGAAGGACCACCTGCCGGCATCAGGATCGCCAATGATCACCAGGCTGGTGCGCATGTTGCTCCTCGCGTGCAGGTGGGAATTCGCGGTGCTCATTTTCGCTTGCATCCTCTCCGGCACTGGATACTCGGACATCCAGAACTCCGAGCTCGTGGAGTCAATGTTCTGCCTTCGGCTTCAGGTAGAGGTTGGCGCGGAACTCCCCGAGCGTGCTCGCCAACGGCGCGATCCGGTACTGGGGCAGCTGCGCCAGCCCAGGCGTCGGAGAGTGCCGCAGGAGGAGGAGGAGCTCGAGGAAGGAGCAGGAGGGACCACGCAGGACTACGATGACGGCGACCTGACCATGCTGCTGGTGCCGCAAGAGGCCGTGGGCTTCGTGACGGGCCGCGCCGGGAACTTCCTGCGCACCATCGAGGAGGAGCGCGGGAGCCGCCTGGAAGACCGGAGGAGAACGATATCAGGGGCATCATCAGGTGGGGATCGGCTCTTGAGAGGGGGGGGTAGGGCTAGAGAGCCCAGGGTTCGCTAGGGACTGGTTTCCACCCAAAACAACGAAAACCCTTCTAAAACCCTTTCGAACCTTCCGAAAACCCTGCCCCCGGAACCCTTCCCGGAGGGTTTTCGGAGGCTTTCGGGAGGGCTGCGGCTGTTTCGAAAGGGAACCAGTCCCTAGCGAACCCTGGACTTTCCAAAGGTAGGGGGTAGGCTCAGTCAGGAGCGACAGAAGGACGTACACGTACATGAATCCACGCTGGTTTCGAGGGCACGCACTGCGCAAATGTTCGTGTAACGCGGCCAGTCTCGCGGACCGAGGGGCCGTGTTCATGTACATAGCTGGGCGCGTACGTCCTTTCTGGGCTCCCTACTCAGGGTGGTCTTCGGATTTCTTCGTCGCTCCTCGAGGGGTTCCCTGCCTCGGGCTGCGTCTCCCGTGCTGCGCCTCGCCGAGAGGCGTCTGGGGGGTTGCGGGATCGCCCTGGAAGGCTGCCGGAGTCCCGGGTCGTGACCCGACAGGCCCGACGACGAGGAGGAGTGAGGAGGAGGAGGAAGAGGAGGAGGAGTGAGGAGGAGGAGGAGGAGGAGGAGGAGGAGGAGGAGGAGGAGGAGGAGGAGGAGGAGGAGGAGGAGGAGGAGGAGGAGGAGGAGGAGGAGGAGGAGGAGGAGGATCACGAGGATCCTGGGGGGATGCATCGACCCCGAATCACCCGTTGGCCGCCGACGGGGGCCCGATAGCCCACCCGGTCCTGCCATCGGGGCCCCGTCGCCGATCTATCGGCGGTGTGTTGCCGATTCCGGCTCGATGTTCCCCCCCATCCCTCTCTGAGCTTGTCCCCCCCCCCACCGCTGTCCCGCAGACAACCGATGAGGACTGAGGATGATCGAGGAGGATCAAGGGAGGGCCAGTGCGTGGAGGATCGAGGAGAGCGTGCGCGCTGCCTCTGCACCCCCGCGAAGGGTCGAGCGTGCCGTGGTCGAGTGCCGATCCAAGAGTTCCGCGCAGGCCTCCGAGAGTTTCTGCGTTGTTTCGCTTTTTCATCATCTACCTCCTCCTCCTCCTCCTCATCCTCCCTCTCGCTCCTCCTCGCTCCTCCTCATCCTCCTCTTCGGCCTCCTACCCTTCCTCTGGAATCCCCTTGGGCACGCTCGACCTCCTTCCCTTCCTTCTTCTCCTCGCCCTCCTAGAGGAGTGGTGCACGCTGATGTTCTTCTGCGACGTCGGCGGCAAGGGCGGTCGCGGTAACAAGGACTACGAGAAGCTGGCCATCTTCGGGGGGGTCCGTGCGAGGCGGGGGGCGGAGTTGAAGGTGCTCAGGGGCAACGTTCGGGGGGGATGGGCTCAGGGGGATGCATCGACCACCAAGCTCCGAAAGTTTTCGGAAGTCGTCGGAAGCTTTCGGGACCTGGGGTGGCTTCCATGAGCTGCGCCTCGTCGAGTGCTTTCGGTGGGTGCCAGAATCGTTCCGAACGGCCGCCAGAGAGCCGAGCTATGACCTGAAAACCGGTGGTGAGGGGGGGGAGGAGGAAGAACAAGAGGAGAGAAGGAAAGGAGGCGGGCGGGATAGGGGATGGAGGAGGAGGAGGATGAGAAGGAGGAGGAGTAGGAGGAGAAGAAGGACCAGTCTAAATCCTGGACGCATCCGCGATGTTGCAGTAAACCCTCCCTCCAAGTTCCCTCGTAACATGTCCCGACAAGATTTTATTCTCATTGCAGGACGTGCCCCATTGGACGACAACAGTCGGAAAACAACATACGTCCCGGGACTTCAGCGCCGCGAATCAACGTGATTCGTGCGTCCGGACAACCCTAAACCGTGTCAAAGCATAATTGTCGAGATTTGAACGCCGCGAATCAACGCGATTTGTTGCGTCCTGACAATCCTGAATCATGCCATCACACCTTTCCTGGGACTGCGACGCCGCGAATCAACTATATTGTTGTGCGCAGACGAGCCTAAATCGTGCCAGAACGCTATGTCTGGAAACAGCTGCAGACTTTGAAGACGAGTGTGCGCGGCTTTTGAAAAGGAGCCGCCCTCCAGCTCCGCAGCTGCTGCGGTCTCTTAAGACGAATGTGCGCGGCTCTAAGGCGAGAGGCGCATTTTAAAAAGCACCCGCCCTTCATCCTTGAAGCAGCTGCATACTTTGAGTCGAATGCGGGCGGCCCGAGGGGGAGAGCCACACTGACCCGCGCTCGATCCTTGAAGATGTCGCGAACGCTAAGACGAATGCGCGCGGCACGCAGGCGAGAGCCACATTTCGAAGGCGGCCGGCCCTCCATCCATGACCCAGTTGCAAACTTCTAAGGCGAATGTGCGTGGCGCCAGGGCGAGATCCACGTTTTGAGAAGGACCCGCCCTCCATCCGTGAAACTGTTGCAAATCTCAAGCTTCAGGATCACAAGCGATCAGGGCGTCTTATGCGAAACGCCCGGCCCGTCCTACCGTCACCTCTGGGGGAGCGACAGGGGTGAGTTATTAATCTGGAAGAGAGATGGGGGAGGAGGAGGAGCAGGAGGAGGAAGAGGATGATGATGATGATGATGATGATGATGATGATGATGATGATGATGATGCTGATGATGATGATGCTGATGATGATGATGATGATGATGATGATGATGATGCTAATGATGATGCTGCTGCTGCTGATGAGGATGATGATAAGTATGATGATGATGCTGATGCTGATGATGACGACGATGATGATGCTGATGGCGATGAGGATGATGATGACGATGATGATGATGCTGCTGCTGATGATGATAGCGATGCTGCTGATGATGATGATCATACTGATTAATATTATGTTGTTGATGATGCTGCTGCTGATGATGCTGATGACGATGATGACGATGATGACGATGATGCTGATGACGATGATGACGATGATGACGATGATGACGATGATGACGATGAGGAGGAGGAGGAGGAGGAGGAGGAGGAGGAGGAGAAGGAGGAGGAGGAGGAGGAGGAGGATGAGTAGGAGCAGGAAAGGAGGAGGAGGAGGAAGAGGAGGAGAAGGTGGAGTAGGAGGAGGATAACGAGGAAGAGGAAGTGGAAGAGGATGAGGAGGAGGAGGAGGAGAGGAGGAGGAGGAGCAGGACCAGGAGGAGGAGAGGAGGAGGAGGAGGAGGAGGAGGAGGAGGAGGAGGAGGAGGAGGAGAGGAGGAGGAGGAGGAGGAGGAGGAGGAGGAGGAGGAGGAGGAGGAGGAGGGTGAGGGCGAGGAGGAGGAGGAGGATGAGGAGGAGGAGGAGGAGGAGGAAGCGAAGGATGCAGTGGTGGAGAAGGAGGAGGAGGAGGAAGTGGAGGAGGAGGAGGAGGAGGCGGAGGAAAAAGAGGAGGAGGAGGAAGAGGAGGAGGAGGAGGATGAGGAGGAGCGCAGAGGTAGTACACACACATATATGGCTTTCACAGCGTCCAAGACGGCCCAACCCCAAGACTGCCCCACAGGCTCCCAAGAGGGCTCCAAGACGACCCCAAGAGGGTCCCGAGACGGCCCGAGAGGCTTCCAAGACAGCCCAAGAGAGCCCCAGGACGAGCCCCAGAGGGGTCCAAGGGGTGCAGAACCATATTCAAATTCCGAGCTTTCGGCGCCAGAGGCTCCCAGGAGGCCCCAAGAGGTTCCCAGGAGGCCCCAATAGGCTCCCAAGAGGCCCCAAGAGGCCCCCAAGAGACCCCCAGGAGGGCCCAAGAGCCCCCAGGAGGCCCCCAGTAGGGCCCCAAGAGGCAGAATGCGCTTCATTCCCTGAGGGAAGCGTATCTTTTTTGCATATGTACACCTTTGGCTTTCACAGCGTCCAAGGCGGCCCAAGAGGCCCCCAAGACTGCCCCACAGGTTCCCAAGAGGGCTCCAAGACGACCCCAAGAGGGTCCCGCGACGGCCCGAGAGGCCCCCAAGACAGCCCAAGAGAGCCCCAGGACGAGCCCCAGAGGGGTCCAAGGGGTGCAAAACCATCTTCAAATTCCGAGCTTTCGGCCCCAGTGCCCCCCAGGAGGCACCAATAGGTTCCCAGCAGGCCCCAATAGACCTCCCAAAGGCCCCAAGAGGCCCCCAAGAGACCCCCAGCAGGCTCCCACGAGGCCCCCAGGAAGCCCCCAGGAGGGCCCCAAGAGGCAAAATGCGCTCCATTCCGGAACGTATCTTTTTCGCATATCTACCTCTTTGGCTTCCAAGACGGCCCAAGAGGCCCCCAAGACTGCCCCACAGGCTCCCAAGAGGGCTCCAAGACGACCCCACGAGGGTCCCGAGACTGCCCGAGAGGCTTCCAAGACAGCCCAAGAGAGCCCCAGGACGAGCCCCAGAGGGGTCCAAGGGGTGCAAAACCACATTCAAATTCCGAGCTTTCGGCCCCAGTGCCCCCCAGGAGGCCCCAAGAGGTTCCCAGGAGGCCCCAATAGACCTCCAAGAGGCCCCAAGAGGCCCCCAAGCGACCCCTAGGAGGCTCCTAAGAGGCCCCCAGGAGGTACCCAGGAGAAGGTAGGGAGAGGGCCCAGAATTGCGACCACTGGTTCGCATCGGGGGCCAGGGGGGCCTTGAGGGCTCCAAGGGGGTTCAGAAGGGACCCTGGACCCCCCCAGAGGCTCCCAAGCTGGCCGAAGAGGCGCTCAAAGCGCCCCAGGTTGTCTGGAAGGTGGCTGAAGAGCGCACTCAGATGGCTTCTGGATGGGCCACGAGCGCTCGAAGACAGCCCAAGACTGCTCCTAGATGGCCACAAAGGCATTCAAGACGGTCCAAGAGGCCGCCGAGAGGGCCCTCCAAGGGCAAGCTCAACCATTTCCTATGGAAAAACGTGTATTTCTGGGAGCTTCGCTTTTCAGTTTTACTAGCGGTCGCGACGGCTCAAGAGTTTACCAAAAGGGGCCCCAGACGGCCCCAGAGGCCCCAAGGAGGGTTCCAAGATGGGCCGAAGAGAGCTTCGAGCTTCAATTCGAAGATGGGCCGAAGAGAGTTACAAGATGGCCCAAGAGAGCGCCTAGGAAGCCCGAGGGGCCACCAGAGGATTCATACATGCTCGGAGTGGGCCCCAGGAGGGCACCAAGACGGGCTGAGCTCCCGACGACGAGCCAAGATGGACCCAGAACGGCCGAAATGGGCCCTCAGACGGGCCAACAAAGGCCCCAAAGGACTCCAAAGGAAGGCCCGGGGAGGCTCCAATGCTTCCACTGCCACAATGCTTCCAAAAAGGCTCCCGGCCCGCGTTCCAGTAGGCACCCGTGTACTGGGTGCGTTGAGAGAAGAGAGGAGGAAGAGGAGGACAAGGAGGAGGAGGAGGAGGAGGAGGAGGAGGAGGAGGAGCAGGAGGAGGATGAGCAGGAGAAGGAGGAGGAGGAGGAGGAGGAGGAGGAGGGGAGGAGGAGGAGGAGGAGGAGAAGGAGGAATAGGAGGAGGAGGAGGAGGTGGGAGAGGCGGAGAGGAGGAGGAGGTGGAGGAGAAGGAGGAAGAGGAGGAGGAGGAGGTGGGAGATGAGGAGGAGGAGGAAGAGGAGGAGGAGGAGGAGGAGGAGGAGGAGGAGGAGGAGGAGGAGGAGGAGGAGGAGGAGGAGGAGGAGGGAGGAGGAGCAGGAGCAGGAGGAGGAGGAGGAGGAGGAGGAAGACCAGGAGGACGAAGAGGGGGAAGAGGAGGGGGAAGAGGACGAGGGACATTCTTCTTGTAATATTATCTTGTTCTCTGCTTCTTTGGCTCGGGGAGGGATGCTGAGGACGAGGAGGGAAGGGGAGCGCAGGATGAAGAGGGCTCGAGAGGAGGAAGGAGGTGAAGTAGGTGAAGGAACACGAGGAGGGACACACCGAAGAGCGAAGAAGACAGGGAGGAGGAGGAGAAGGAGGAGGATGATGAAGAGGAGGAGGAGGAGGAGGTGAAGGAACAGGGATCCTTTTCAGGGAGATGCCGACGAGGAAAAGGATGAGTATCAGATTCTGGGAAGAGGGAGAACAGGAGTAGGAGGAGGGGAAGGGAACTGCAGTGGACCGGGGATGATGACGGCGATGATGCTGATGATGATGGCGATGACTATGCCGACGACGACGCCGACGACGACCAACAATATGTTGATGATGTGGATGATGATGCTGAAAAGTACGATGACGATGATGGCGATGGTTATCACGATGCTGAGGATACTGGTGGTAATGGTGATTGTTGTGATGGTGATGGTGAAGGTGACCATGACGATGACGATGAAGATGAAGATGACGGGGATAAGGATGACAATGATGACGATGATCAGAATCCTAGCTAGAACTTGAGCGCGCGTGAAGCGCGCGCGATGGTTCTAGTGTGTGTATATATATATATAGAGAGAGAGAGAGAGAGAGAGAGAGAGAGAGAACACAAAAATAGAGAAAGAGAGAGAGGGAGAGAGAGAGAGAGAGAGATGAGGGAAGAGGGAGGAGGGAGAAGCCCTCTCAGGTGCTCAGCGCGGTGGAGACGAAGGTGCCGGGCTACTTCGCGAAGATGAGAGACGAGGTGGTCGACCGCGACAGGAACAAGGCTGGCGGCGCGCACAATGGGGGCTAGGTCGCGCCCAGAGGCTTCCGAGGGGGCTTCTCAGAGGCCGATAGGGCTTCTATCAAGCCACCCACGGAAGACATGTGTGCACTGGACCGCGTTGGCTGCTCCCGAGGCGTCGTCAATCCTCGGCCCAGGCATGGTGCGGTGCACAGCTTCTCGGCCATTTGAGGGCGGAGCTGCGATGCACCGTACCGCGCTGGAGCGGGGCCGGACGGGAGCCCAGGCACGGCACGGTGCACGGGTGCTCTTCTCGTGAAGCCGCCCGCCTTCCTGGAAGGCCGCCTCCTCTCCCCCCCCCTCCTCCTCCTCCTCCTCCTCCTCCTCCTCCTCCTCCTCCTCCTCCTCCTCCTCGAGGGCGCGTCCAGAGACCTCCGATGGGGTCTTCTGGGAGGGCCTCGGCCCCGCCGCGTGCCCTCTTGGAGCCCGGACCCCCTGCCACGATTGGTCCATGACGTGACCCCCACGAGGTCTGGGCCTCGTCCTGGGGGCTGGTTGGCGGCCCCGACGTGCTGGAGCCAGACCGCTCCAGCCACTTGGGCGGGCGGGCAGTCTTGGAAGGGGGGTCCGTCACCTCATTGGTCAGGCAGCGGTGCGGCTTTGCACAGGCGGCACACCGCTGCCTCGCGGCAGGGCCCCCCCCCCAAAAAAAACAGGTTCTTTGGCAGCGGCCAGCAGAGAAAGAGCCCCCAGAGGCCGAACACAGCGGAACGCCCTCGGTCGTACGACGACGACGACGACGACGACGACGACGACGACGACGACGACGGCGGCGACGACGACGACGACGACGACGACGACGACGACGACGACGACGACGACGACGTTAACCTTTCACGGCGCGAATGAGTCTGGGGAGGCCGCCCCCGCTCTTTTCCCTCCGCCACCCCCTCGTGCGCGCCGCCTCAGCAAGGACAAGTCCGGCACCTGGGGCACGGACACGATGACGTTCCAGGATTGTCGCCCTGAGGAGGAGGAGGAGGAGGAGGAGGAGGAGGAGGAAAACGAGGAGGAGGAGGGGGAGGAGGAGGAGGAGGAGAGAGAGCAGCAGAGGATGAGGAGGAGGAGAGGAGGAAGAGGAGGAGGGGAGGGGAGGAGGAAGCGGAGGAGAAGGAGGAGGAGGAGGAGGAGGAGGAGGAGGAGGAGAGTGAGGAGGAGGAGGACGAGGAGGGGGATGAGGAGGAGGAGGAGGAAGAGGAGGAGGAACAGGAGTAGCAGGAGGAGCAGGAGGAGCAGGAGAAGCAGGATAAGCAGGATAAGCAGGAGAAGCAGGAGGAGGAGGAGGAAGCGGAGGAGGAGGAAGAGGAGGAGGAGGAGGCGGAGGCGGAGGCGGAGGCGGAGGAGGTGGAGGATGATGATGATGAGGAGGAATACGAATACTACTAGTAATACCAATCGTACTGATAATACTAAGAATGCTAACACTGTCAGTACGAATAATACGAATACTAATACTACTCATAGTAATCAGAATACTATGACTACGAATAAGACTGCTACGAACACAAATCATAGTATGAAGACGAATGCTACTACTAATAATTCTAACGCCACTATTCATACAACGAGCAACTAAAATACTACTACTACGAGTTTTCAAGAGGCATAATACTAAGAAGAAGAAGAAGACGATGAGGATTCTGATGAGGAGGATAATGCGGATGATGATGCTGATGGCGATGATGCTGATGATGACGATGATGATCCTGATGATCCTGATGATGATGACGATGGTTGTGGTGGTGGTGGTGGTGATGCTGATGATGATGCTGATTAGGATGCTGATACTGATGGTGATGATGCTGATGATGATGATGATGCTGATGATGCTGATGCTGCTGCTGCTGATGATGATGATGATTTTGATGATGATGATGATGATGATGATGATGATGATGATGATGATGATGATGATTCTGATGCTGATGACGATATTGGTCATACTGATGATGCTGCTGATGATGCTGCTGATGATGATGCTGAAGGAGGATGAGGAGGAATATGAGGAGGAGGAGGAGGAGGACGAGGAGGAGGCGGAGGAGGAGAAGGAGGAGGAATAAGAAGAAGAAAAAGAAGAGGAACAGGAGGAGGAGGAGGAGGAGGAGGATGAGGAGGAAGAGGAGGAGGAGGAGGAGGAGAGAGGGAGGAGGAGGAGGAGGGGAGGGGAGAGGAGGGGGAGGGGGAGGAGGAGGAGGAGGAGGAGGAGGAGGAGGAGGAGGAGGAGGAGGAGGAGGAGGAGGAGGCGGAGACGGACCAGTGGAAACCCAAGAGTTTTCAACGATGTTGGTATAATTCCTCCCTCCAAGCTCCATTTTCAGAGGTCCCTTCAACGGCTTATTACCACAGAGGGAACTGCCTCGTTGGAAGGCATTCGTTTGAAGACCCTGACGCATCCCCAAAACAATGTTCTCGGATTTCCAGCGCCACGGATCAACATAACTGCTGCGTCTTGACGATCTTGTATCGCACCAGAACGCCATTATTGAGATTTCAGCACGTCGAATCAACGTACCCGTTGCGCCCTCATAATCCAGAGCCCTTCCAGCATACAATGTGTGGGTATGCTGACCATGTGGACCAGTGAAACTCTTGCACATGTTGAGACGAGTGTGCGCGGCGCTGAGGCGAGAGTACCGTTTCGAGAACCACCCGCCCGCAACCCGTTAAACTCTTGCAGAGTTTGAAAACGAATGTGCGCGGCGTTGAGGCGACAGCCACATGTTGGAAACGACCCGTCCTCAATGCGTGACGCTCTTGCATGGTTTAACGTATGTGCGCGGCGCTAAGACGAGAGCCACATGTTGAAATCGACCTGCCCTCAATCCGTGAAGCTCTTGCAGATGTGTTTGAAACGAATGTGCGCGGCGATAAGGCGAGAGCCACATTTTGAAGACGACCCGCCCACAATCCGTGAAACTTTTGTAACAGTTGAAAGCGAATATGCGCGGCGCTGAGGCGAGAACCGCATGTTGAAACCCACCAGCCCTCCATTTGTGAAACTGTTGTCAAGTTTGAAGCGTGAAGGTCATAAATGGTGAGAAAGTCGCAGGCGAAACGCACGGTCCGCCGTAAAAACTGGCCTTTATCAGGAAAAGGAATGGAGGCGGAAAAGGAGGAGGGATGAAAAGGAGGAGGAGGAGGAGGGGGAGGATTAGGAGGACGAGGAGGAAGATGAGGAGGAGGCGGAGGAGGATAAGGATGAGGAGGAGGGGGAGGGGGAGGGGGGGGGGGAGGAGGGGGAAGGGGATGGGGATGATGATGATGATGATGGATGATGGTGATGATGATGATGATGATGATGATGCTGATGATGATGATGATGACGATGATGATGATGATGCTGTTGATGATGATGCTGATGCTGCTCATGATGACGGTGACGCTGATGATGATGGTGATGATGATGATGGTGATGCTGATGAAGATGAAGATGAAGATGGTGATGTTGATGATGCTGATGACGCTGACGGTAATGATACTGATGCTGATGCCGATTCGGATGATGATGAGGATGAGGATGCGGATGCGTATGGTAATGGGGATGATGATGTTGCTGATGACGATAATGATGATGATGATGCTGATGATGCTGATGATGATGACGATGATGATGATGATGATGATGATGACGCTGATGCTGCTGATGATGATGCGAATGCTGATGGTGCTGCTGATGATGCTGCTGATGATGATGCTGATTATCGTGAACCTGATGCTGCTTCTGCCGCTGATGATGATTATGTTGATGACGATGATAACGATGACGATGATGATGAGGAGGAGGATGATGATGCTGATGATGCTGATGACGCTGATGATGTCGATGTTGATGATGATGATGATGCTGATGAAGGTGATGATGATGACGATGATGATGATGATGATGATGATGATGATGATGATGGTGATGAAGATGATGATGCTGCTGCTGATGGTGATGCTGCGGCTGACGATGATGATGAGGATGATGATGATGATGATGGCGGTGGTGGTGATGCTGCTGCTGATGATGTTGCTGCTGCTGTCGACGATGAGGATGATGATGCTGCTGACGACGACGACGACGACGATGATGATGATGATGACGATGATGATGCTGATGCTGCTGCTGATGATGATTATGACGATGATGCTGACGATGCTGCTGATGATTATGCTGATGATGATGATGCTGATGCTGCTGATGATGCTGATGATGATGATTATGATGATGCGGATGCTGATGCTCATGATGAAGATGCTGTTGATGATGATGATGCTGATGATGCTGCTGCTGATGATTATGGTGATGATGATGCTTGTGCTGATGATGACGATTATGATGATGATGATGCTGCTGCAGATGATGATGCTGCTGATGATGCTGCTGCTGATGATGATGATCATGATGATGATGATAATGATGATGATGATGGTGGTGGTGAGGATGATGATAATGATGATGATGATGATGATGATGATGATGATGATGATGATGCTGATGCTGATGATGCTGATGAGGATGACGAGGATGATGAGCATGATGATGATGATGATGATGATGATGATGATGATGATGATGATGATGATGATGATGATGATGGATGATGATGATGATGTGATGATGATGATGATGATGATGTGATGATGATGATGATGATGATGATGATGAGTGGTTGGTGATGGTGGTGGTGGTGGTGGTGAGGAGAAGGAGGAGGAGGAGGAGGAGGAGGAGGAGGAGGAGAAGGGAAGGAGGGGGGATGGGGGAATGGGGATGGGGGAGGGTGAGGGGGAGGGGGAGGAGGGGAGGAGAGGAGGAGGGGAGAAGGAGGAGGAGGAGGAGGAGGAGGAGGAGGAGGAGGAGAGGAAGAGGAGGAGGGAGGAGGAGGAGAGGAGGAGGAGGAGGAGGGGAGGAGGAGGAGGAGGATGATGATGATGATGATGATGATGATGATGATGAGGAGGAGGAGGAGGAGGAGGAGGAGGAGGAGGAGGAGGAGGAGGAGGAGGAGGATGAGGAGGAGGAGGAGGAGGAGAAGGAGGAGGAGGAGGAATGGAGGAGTTCGAGGAGGATGAGGAGGAGGAGGAGAGGTGAGGAGGAAAGGAGGAGGGAGTGGGAGGGGGAGTGGGAGGAGGAGGAGGAGGAGGAGGAGAGGAGGAGGAGGAGGAGGAGGAGGAGGAGGAAGAGAAGGAGGAGGAGGAGGAGGAGGAGGAGGAGGAGGCGCAGGAGGAGGAGCAGGAGTTGGAGCAGGAGGAGGAGGAGGAGGAGGAGGAGGAGGAGGAGGAGGAGGAGGGGGAGGCGGAGGGGAGGAGGAGGAGAAGAGGAGGAAGAGGAAGAATAGGAGGAGGCGGAGGAGGAGGAGGAGGAGCAGAAGGAGGAGGAGGAGGATTGTATTGGACACGTCGAGGGCAAGGCTGGGCCATCCAGCAACGAAGGTTGGATGGCAGACCCTGCGGCGCTAAATGGCACATGGCGGCTTTCAAACCAACATGCCAGAAGGCCCAACCCACAGAGAACAGCCACGGAAAATCCCATGCAGTGCAAGGCTGGGGTTACCAGGCGGCAGGCTGCAAACCAATCCAAGTGGTTGCCTACTCTACATTACAAGTTGCGCTGAACCATCAGCTCCGGTGATACAAGCAACGGTGATATCTGTATCAATTGCACCAGGACCGACCTATTCGCCACAAGTCTGTCCCCTTCCGGCTCTCGGCTCTTGATATACAAGAGCATCGGCTCGCAAAGGAGGAGGAGGAGGAGGAGGAGGAGGAGGAGGAGGAGGAGGAGGAGGCAGAGAATGAGGAGGCGGAGGCGGAGGCGGAGGCGGAGGAGGAGGAGGATGATGAGGAGGAGGAGTTGGAGGATTTTGAGGAGTTGGACGAGTTGGAGGAGCTGAAAGGGTTGGAGGAATTGGATTAGGAGGAGGAGAAAGGATATTCGTAATACTAGTAGTTTGAAGAATGGAAATAATACGAATGCTGCGAAACAGAAGAATATCAATACGAATACTGAGAACAACGATGAAACCTATCATAATAATACTGATGATAATCATAATAATCGTGCTAGTAATAAACATAAGAGAGATCGTACGAATACTATTAAGAATAATAAGCATACCAATGCTAAGACGAAGAAAAAAAAGGAGAGGAGGATGAGGAGGATGATGATGATGAGGAGGAGGAGGAGGAGGCGTGGCCCTCTTAGTCGGGCTGCCCGCCGCTAGCACGTCCGCCCCTCGATGGGGCACGGACACGATGGCGTTGCAGGACGCCGCCCCGACACGATGGTCGGCTTCGGGCTAGTGGATCCGTTGCACAGGGGGTCTCAAATATGTCCGCCATAGTTCGTGCCAAGCGCCACAGGCTGAACTATTGCATTGTCTTTTTGCGACCCCCAGGACGTCGGTCCGACACCATGGGAGTCTTGGCGGAACGTCGGGGCAAAAATAGTGGCACAAACCTAAACTCGGAGGTCCGCGCAGATTTCTCGGATCGGCGCTGGAGCCCCTGACGGCCCCGCCAGCGCTGCCCCTGGCGCGCTCCGCGCGCCAGGGAGGGAGGTCCAGCGCCGATCTGAGAAATCTGCGCGGACCTCCGAGTTTTTATGTTTATGTCATTGTTTGTTTCCCTAGAACGGGGTCCAGAGGCTCGTCGCCTTGTCTTCGACTAGGCGTGAGAGTGACCACTTGCCGGAGTGACCTTCTGCTGCGGGCTCACAGGGGTCCCCCGATCGCTGACGCGATGCGATAGTGGCTGCTTGCGCGCTTGGACTTGACCACATGGCGCATCCGCGCACTGAAGGCCACCCTCACCCGGGACCACCGCCCGCGCGTGCAGACGATGTCTTCGACCGTCACGAGGAGCGACTCGGGATGCAGAGCGGGTCCCAGGGGAGAGCGCCGGGGCCCAGGACGACCCGCTTCCTGGACATCCGCTCGGCTCCTGTGCTCCACCTGCGGGCGCCAGACCCAGACCCCCGACGCCCTTTTTTCCACCGCAGCCTCGACCCCAGGAGGTCTCGACCCATTCCCCGCGACCAGCTGTCCATGCCGAGTCGTTTCTTGACGGTCCCGGGGCCCGGCGAGGGCCCCCAGAGGCCGAGAATGTTGAAGATCCGTCCGTTGTGTCTTCTTCACCTCGCGAGGTACCTGGTGCTCGACCGACGCCCCAGGGGAGGTCTTCAGGCAGGCCTCGAGTCGAGATCACCTGGTCCAGAGCGTTCCGGAACATTCTGCGCCCGCTACATCCTTCAGGCCCGCCGATTCTCAGAGATTTCCGATGTACCTCGGTCCGATTTTGTTTCAATTCTGCCCTCATCTTGAATCTTCCAGGAAGGAAAACACAGACACGATTAATCGTCGACTCCAATGAAAACGTGGGAAATATGGTACATGGGGGGAGACGAAAGTCCAGAAAACTGTTTACGCTTCGCGAATCCCCGCCAGCCCATTCAGAAGCCCTGCCCACGAGAGCTGACGGGAAATGGAAAGCAGAGACGCTTCTAGTGAAACAGAGAGGTCAAAGAGAGGAAGGGTAGGAACGTGTTGAGCCAAGTTGGAGGCTATCTTGGAGCATCAGAGGCCTGCCTTCTTGGAGCTGTGGGACTTTTTGGGGGCGTCTTGCGATCCTCTTGGGGCTCTTTTGGGGCATCTTGGGGCGCTCCTGGGGCTCTTTGGGGGGTCTCGGGGTCCTCTTGGGGCTCTTTTGGGGCGTCTTGGGTCCCTCTCGGGGCCCCTGTGGGCGCCCTCTTGGGGCTCTTTTGGGACTCCTGGGAGCTTCGGAGGGCCTCCTGGGGCCCTCTTGGGGGCCATCGATCAAAGGGGGGGGGGGGTCCTTAATGTCTAGGCCCCCTCCCTAAGAGCCCTTGAAATCGCCTCTGGGGGCCCTCTTAGGGCGCCCTTGGGGCGATCTTGGCCCTTCTTGTGGCCGTCTTGGGGGCCTCTTGGGCCCCTCTTGGAGCTCTCTTGGGCCATCTTGGGGCCACCTTGAGGCTTCAAAAGCGCGTCGGAAGCGAAGAGGCGAGAAGGCACAAATCATCGATATCCCCAGGTTTTTGAAGGATCTTGGCTTCTCGGGGAGGTCCTGGGGGGTCTCCAAGGGAAGTGGGGGGCGGGAAGAGGGGGGCGGGAGGAGGAACACCCAGAAAACAAAGGAACGCATGGCGACTCCTGGGATTTGTGCCCATGTATTTGTGTGTGTCCCTGGGCCTCTCTGCTCTTCCGCTCCCCGGCCGCCCCGCGGCACGCGCCCGCAGCCCGGGGGCCGCGCGGCCCGGAGGACGACGAGCTGTCCTACGCCCTGGGCAAGCAGGGCGGCACGCGCAAGAAGCTGGAGCTCGGCACCGCTCGGGCAGTGCCAGGGTCTGGGCCCCGCGGCGCAGGGATCCAACGCATGGCAAAGATCAGGACGGCGGCTTGTCGCACGTTTCGGCCCCTCGGGGCCCTCGCCGGGCCTCTGGCCCGTCCAAGAACGGCTCAGGATGAAAAACCGGTCCTGGGGAATGGGTCGAGCATTCCGGGGACCGCGCAATGAGAAAACCACGACGTCGGATCTCTGGGGGGGGGGGGGTCCGAGCAGAGGGGGGCGGTCCGCCGGGCGGTGAGTCGGCGATGCGGCGCGATGCCCAGACCCCCTCGCGTCGTGAAGAACTCGTGACGGAAGGTTTTTTGGAATTTTCGGCTTCTGGGGGCCCTCGCCGGGCCTCGGGACCGTCACCCAGTGGCGTCTCGAGTTTCTCCTGGAGATCGAGGGCCCGGGATCGAAGCTCGAGGAGGTTTTTGGATAGTTGGGGTCGTTTTGGAAGGCTCTTCGAAGAAATTGCGCTTCCTCGAGTACGTGGCGACCCCGCCAGTGGTGACCCCCATTGGCACTGCCCCAACCGTCGGAACCATCCCAGCCCCTGCTGGGACAGTGCATGCTACTCAGACATGCCCGCGTCGCAAAACATTTCTCACGACGGTCTGCTCTCATGAAAAGCCGGTTCCGGGGAAGGGGTCGAGGCCTCCAGGGGTCGACGCTGTGAAAAAACCTGTCGTCCGGGGTCGGGGTATACAGCCCCCACTGGTGCAGGGCAGGCTGCCTCACCCAGCGCACTTCCCTGAGATCTGGGCCCTGCACGTTTTCCGCCCCGGCGTTTTCGATCGGTGCCGATCCCCTGGGGCCATCCCAGATGGAGGCGGCTCGCAAGACGCCGCAGAACAATTTTGCAGCGCGGCGTGGTGTCGCAACTTTTTGCAGCCGGCTGCTCGAGAACGTGCTGCGATGCTGCCGCTTTGTCGCAGCGTCGCACCGAGAGGCCTCGGAAAGAAAAAGCGAACACTCATGCCACATTCATCTGTGAACGCCTCCCCCTCCCCTCAATGTTCAAAATTGGCGGTGGGTCTGATGAGTTGCACCTCGACCGCAGTCTCCCCCGCGCGTGCCAACTTTGAGTTTTGGGGGGAGGGGGAGTGTTCGGTAATTGTTTCCCTCTACCGTAGAGGGCGTACCCGAGGAGGAGGGCAGGAGGAGGTAGGGAGGAGGGGGTAGGGGAGGAGGAGGTAGAGAGGGTAGGAGGAGATAGAGGAGTGGGGGTGGGGGTAGGAGGAGGTAGAGGGGAAGAGGCCGAGATGGGGGCAGATGAGGCACTCGAGGCTGAGAGAGGGATGGGGGAGAAGGAAGTTTCCCGCAGAGGCGGGAAGGTCGCCTTGCGAGCCCTCCGCAGGCTCGCACCGGTACTCCTCTGGTGACAGGGTGCGCGCACGGGGGGGGGGATGTAGTGCTTTCTTGCAAAGGCGACTCCTCGCCCCTGGCCCCCGCGTTCCCCCTCAAGAAGACGGGCCGCTGAGAAAAGAGAGGGAGCTCGGGGGCATACCCCTCGGGTGAGGGTGGGGGTTACTCCTACGCACCCCTACCGAGGATGGACGCCCCCCATCGAGTATCCCCAAGTTTGGCCCCCGTCCTGCAATGGTCAGGCTCCGGGTTGCGCGCAGGACGTCCTGGCTGGACTCAGCAGGACTCCGAGAAGTCTGGGGCGGTTTCAACAACCCAGCTCTGCGGTCCAGGGCGCCGTCGAAGGCGGCGCCAGGGTGGTGAGACTGCCCTGGGCCACTTGGGGGCCTGTTGCGGCCAGCTGGGACTACCTGGGGGGCTGTCCCCTACACAGACATCCAGCGCTTTGATCAAGGACAGGTGGAGGTTTCTCATTGTTTTTGGCTCCGGGAAAGCCAAAAGGAACGACCCAGGATGAAGAACCAGTCCCGGGGAAGTGGTCGAGAGGTCAGGGGCCCGTGTTTAGTAGAAAAATTGGCTACACGTAAGAGTGACCTTTCGCCGGAGTGACCTTTGGTGCACGCCCACTGGGGCCCCCCGAACATCGAGTACGGTACGATAGTAGCGTCTTGTGCACTTGTGTTTGGTCCCCCCGCGGCCCTCGAAAAGCCGCGCACCAAAGGTCATTCTTACCCAGGGCCACTTTATGGTGTAGCCGAAAGTGGTCGAGAGTTCGGGGGCCCGTGTTGCGAAAAAGCAAGACGCCGGATTTCGGGATACCATCCCACAACATCGGGCACTGGGGTGTCCAAGCTGCGACCCGCTTCCCCTGTCTCGAGGAGCGCTCCTCCGGCGCCATCGTGCAGTACGTCGGGCACACGGCGCTCTTCTCCGGCACGAAGCAGGAGCGCCGGCGGGCCAAGGAGTACATGAAGTGGCTCTTCGAGCAGCTCGAGGGGCCATTGGGCAACGGCAAAACGATGCCACACACCAGCCCACTTCCATGGCGACCCTGGCCGGGCCGACCCGATGTGATGCCGATCTCCTGACGTTGCGAGTCCGCCCCATGCTCGCACGGCGCTGCTGTGCGTCCTGGCGCTGCCGGTCCGATCCGATTTCGATTCTCGGGGGTGGACAGAACCCCCAACAGTGACACGTCGATTAGTGAATTGTCCGTTTTCGGTTCTCGAGAGGGCGCCGTGGCCGCTCTTTTCCAGGCTTGCGCCCGCCAGGTTTGTTTCACTAAACCACGTTTTACTAAAGGGGGGTCTGTACATCCCCGAGATTCCGTGCCGATGCAGCCCGATCCGACGTATTCCGATCCGATCCGTTTTCCCGATTCGAGGGTGGCTGTTCCTAAGGCTTGCTGCCGAGGAGCGGAACGAAGCCGTGCCGCCCCGCAGGGGTAGAAATTGTCCAGCCGTCCTGGGACAACCGACCCCGACGGCGGACAGGTTTTTTGCTGTACTGCTCTTCGCCCACCAAAACCCAGTTCCTTCGGCTTTCGCTGGGAGCCAGGCGCCGGTATATTTAATTACTTCGATGTCCTTCCCTCGGAACCGCGTTCCTCTCAATACAGATGTTCTCCGCAGGATATATCTTGTAGCGTCTCTCACCTTGTGGTGCAGGAGCGAATTCTGTTCTCGGAGGTTGTGCTTTTAATGTTTCATTGGCTGACTCAGACCCCTGGAACTCTGATTGGCAGGCGAATGATCAGTCAAAGCTGGCCTTGAGGGTGAGCTGTTGAAGCAAATCACCCCTGCATGCCTCGGTTCTGGGCATCCTTTGCATGCCTTCATGCTTCCTCGGTCTAAGGGCTCCTTGACATTCTGGCGTGTTCCAGCCTCCTTACATCCTCACGCTCCGTCCTTATCGCTCACGCAGCGAGAGCTGCGACAACGATGGCAACGCTAGCGACGATCACAACGATCCACGAAATGGCAACGGCAACAGCGACAACAGCGACCGCAGTGATAGCAACGGGCAACGCAGGAACAGCGACGGCGGTAACGATCACGACGAGGTCCGCGCGCAATGCCCGGACACCCGCAGGCCCGCGCGAGTCTCGTGCGGAGGCGCCGGCCGGACTCCCCCCTCCCCGCGGCCCTGGCGCCGCCCCGTGCGTGCTCCCCGCTCCACGGGAGGGGGCCCCCCCCGCCGGCCCTGGAAGCCCGCGCGGACCTCCGCCAGCATTTGGCGGAGGCCGCCCGGGGCGTGCGACGTCGTGCGGCTCTCGAGTGTCGCGTCGGCGGCCAGGCAGAGGGACCGCGCTGGCGGATGGGGCGTGGGTAGGTCGCACGTGACGCGAATGGGGCCACGGTGCACGAGGAGGAAAGAGGAGGCGCCCGGCGGTGGCGGGAGGGAGGCGGAAGCCGGGCCTGCTCAGAGCGGGGCCAGGCGCGCGGCAGGGGCGGCGCTTGAGTCTCTCGGCGCTCGCACGAGGCGGTTGGGGGAGGGGGCCGCCGACAGTCAGCACCGCATCGGGGATTCGCATCGGATCGGAATGTGCGTCGGGTGGCGCTGCATCGGAGTGGAGTCGGGCTCGGATCGGGTCGGCTGCGCTGGGGTGCACAACAGCGCTATGCAAGCATCGGGCCGCACCGCCGGATCGTCGGAGCACCGAAATCGAAGGCCTACGAAAGAGAACACCGATACACCCTTGGCGGCGCGCACAAGGCGGTAGGGGAAGGGAGGAAGGCTTCTTTCAGGAGGGAACAAAAACACACGACACAGTTAACAGTCGATTCCCCAGAAAGTATGGGAAAATATGGGAAGTGGGGGGGAAGACAAACATAAAGAAAACATGGAAAATAGGGGGAATCCTGTTAGTTGTGTTTATGTATTTGTGTGTCCCAGGGCCTCTTCATTCTTAGAAGGGGAGGCTGCTTCTTGGAAGGTGCCGGCCTACGTCTACGGATCAGGCCCGCGCTTTCTAAGAAGCAAGGGTGTTTCTAAGGATCCTTCCCAGCTTCCCCCTGCCTGCCCATACATCTGGCCGCTCCAACTTTTTCGATGCGCGGGCCCTGGAGGTCCGTGCCCTCTCCTGGGGCCGCCGCTCTCTCATCCCGAATCGTTTTTCAGCGGTCCCGAGGCCCGGCTTCTTGGAAGGAGGCCGCTTCTGAGAAGGCGCCGGCCCTGTGAGAAGGCATCCCCCTCACCATAACTTTTCTCTGCGAGTGGCCGAGCATCGCCGACGCATCGCCGATGCATCGGCGACATCCATGTAGAGAAAAGCGGGCTCCGCCCCCAGATCCCCGACGTCGTCATGTTTTTTTTTGTTGTTTCTTTTACATCTTCGACCTTCGGAGGTCTCAACACACTCCCCAGAACCAGCTTTTCGTCCTGAGTTGTTTTTTGATGGTCCCGAAGCCCGGTGAGGGCCCCTGGAGGCCGAGAACGGCCAAACATTTTCCGTCATGGTTTTGTCCCTTGCCGTCTCGATCCTCTCTTTGCCTCGATCTTCGATCATCGATCCTCGGTCCTCGGTTCTCGATCCTCCCCTGGGCCAACTGATGGTGTATGGCATGGCAGAGTTTCTTCGCCCGTGGGGAGACATGGCAAAGCCTTGCGTCGGACAGCGACCCGTGGCCACACTTGGAGGATGGCAACGTGCACCGTACAAGCAGAGACATGTTTCCCAGGAGGGAGACACACAGAGACACAACTAATCGTCCACTCCCGTGAACATGGGGGAAAGCATGGGAAATGGAGGGCCGACGCAAATCTTTTGTGTTCCTAAAGAAAAACAAACATACGATCTTGAATGTTCTGGAGCAGATCTTCACTTCAAGATGCACCACCACCTGATTCTTAGGCTTACGCCACACCGCCGACCCCTTGTTTATGCCAATCTGGGGGTAGTAGAAGCTGCGAAGGGGTGAAAAGGCGAGTGATATTTGTTTGGTGTCTGTTCGCCGCCACCGCCAGAGGGTCTCGGGCAGTTCCGCGGGGAGGTCCGAGCGGACAGCGACACTGCGAGTTTTGGAGCCACTCGGGGGCCGTTTCGGAGCCTCTGGGGTGCTTCTTGGGGGTTCCTTGGGGCGTCTGGGCGGCCTCGTGAGGGCCTCTGGGGGCCTCTTGGGGCACTCTTGGGGCCCCCTGGGGCTCCTGGGGGCAGAAAGCTAGAGTTTCAACATGTTTGGTCGCCCTCTTGGGCCCCTCGTGGTGCCGTCTTGGAGCCCTCTTGGGCCGTCTTGGGGACCTCTTGGGCCGTGTTGGGGCCGTCTTGGGCCGTCTGGAGGCCGTCTTGGGGGCCTCTTGGGCCATCTTGGGGCTGTCTTTGGGGCCTCTTTGGCCGTCTTGGAGCGTCGGGAAGCCGAAAAGGCGGAAAAGCAAAAAACATCGAAAAACACTATGGAAAATCAACAATTTTAGACTCTTGGGGCCCTCTTGGGAGGCTTGTTTGGGACCTCGGGGGCCGTCTTGGAGACCTCTTGGCCCGTCTTGGGGCCATCTTGGGCGTCTTGGAACGGTTGTTTGGCGTCTCGGGGCCTTCGTGGGCCGTCTTGGAGGCCTCTTGGAGCCTTCTTGGCCCGTCTTGAGGCCCTCTTGGGCCCGGAAAAGCCCTGGAACCGCTCGTCCCGGCCGTGCTGCGCTCGTCCTGGCCCCCTCCCCGCCTCCAAATCGGCCCTCTTGGGCCGTCTTGAGGACCTCTTGGGCCGTCTTGGGGCCGTCCTGGGCCGTCTGGAGGCCGTCTTGGGGGCCTCTTGGGCCATCTTGGGGCTATCTTTGGGGCCTCGTCGCGCGTCTTGGAGCGTTGGGAAGCCGGAAAGGCGGAAAAGCAAAAAACGTCGAAGAACACTATGGAAAATCAACAATTTTAGACTCTTGGGGCCTTCTTGGGAGACTTGTATGGGACCTCGGGGGCCGCCTTGGAGACCTCTTGGCCCGTCTTGGGGCCATCTTGGGCGTCTTGGAGGGGTCGTTTGGCGTCTCGGAGCCTTCGTGGGCCGTCTTGGAGGCCTCTTGGAGCCTTCTTGGCCCGTCTTGAGGCCCTCTTGGGCCCGGAAAAACCCTGGAACCGCTCGTCCCGGCCGTGCTGCGCTCGTCCCGGCCCCCCCCCCCTCCAAATCGGCCGTCTTGGGGACCTCTTGGGCCGTTTTGGGGCCGTCTTGGGCCGTCTGGAGGCCGTCTTGGGGGCCTCTTGGGCCATCTTGGGGCTAGCTTTGGGGCCTCTTTGCCCGTCTTGGAGCGCCGGGAAGCCGGAAAGGCGGAAAAGCAAAAAACATCGAAAAACACTTTGGAAAATCAGCAATTTTTGACTCTTTGGGCCCTCTTGGGAGGCTCATTTGGGACCTCAGGGGCCGTCTTGGAGACCTCTTGGCCCGTCTTGGGGCCATCGTGGGCGTCTTGGAGCGGTCGTTTGGCTTCTCGGAGCCTTCGTGGGCCGTCTTGGAGGCCGCTTGGGGGCTTCGTGGCCCGTCTTGAAGCCCTCTTGGGCCAGGAAAAGCCCCGTGGAGCGCTCGTCCCGGACCCCCCCCCCCCTCCAAATCGACCGGACCGGGCTCCCGGGGGAGGGGTTTGGGGAGGGGGAAGCATCTCACACGCCGATGATCCCCAAGGGGTCGGCGGATTCTAATACTTCGTATGGGGAACCCTGGGCTTTGTGCTAAGACGGGCCTGTCCTCCTACAGGGGGACCTTGGACGAAAAAAATCCCAAATAGTCCAAACTCGCCCCCAGGCTTTTCTTGTTTGTTCTGTTTTGTTTCTCCTCTTTTGGAGCACTCCTCCTGTAGAGGGGCAGGCCCGACTTCAGCTCTGTGCCCATCCCTCCGTGTGCACCCCCCCCCCCCCTTGGGGCCCCTCGAGCCCCCCCCCGCCCGAAGGAGCGGCGCCCCGGCGCCCACTCCCGGGCCTCCGTGTGCGGCCGCCCGCCGCCGCTGCCACAGAGCCCACCGGTTCCCCCCTCGCTCGTCCCTCCCCCTCTGCGCGTCGGGCTCCCTTGCGCTCGTCCCTCCCGTCCCCTTCCCCTCGCTCGTCCCCTCCCTCCCCTGTCCCTCCCCTTCCCCTAGTTCCTCCCCCTCGCTCGTCCCCCGTCCCCCCCCCTCCCCTTCCCTCCCCTTCCCCCGCTCGTCCCCTCCCTCCCCTGTCCCCCCCCCTCCTCCCCTCGCTTCCCGCCGTCCCCCCCCCCCCCCTCCCCTTCCCTCCCCTTCCCCTCGCTCGTCCCCTCCTCCCCTCGTCCCTCCCCTTCCCCTCGTCCCTCCCCCTCGCTCGTCCCCCCCTCCCCTGCCCTCTTCGCTCGCCTCCTCGCTCGTCGGTTCCCTCCTCGCCCGTCTTCCACCGTGTGAGCGCTTGTGGCTGGAGTGGCCGGCCCCCCGTGCGTCCAGCCTGCTTCCATACACACAGCTTGCAGAGGCTGCGGCGAGCCCCGAAAGAGTCGGCGGCCTTGCGGAGTAGAGGGTCTTTTTCCAGCAGGGGGGGGCGTCGCGAGATACACACATCCCCATCTAGAGGGGGTAAGTCGGCCAGTGGGGCCATTGCCACGTCAATGGGGATAGGCGATAGGGATCCCTTCAACGATGCTCAACGTCGCGATTCATTGCTTTGCGCTGCCGCTGGCAGCAACAAGTTCTGCTGCTCCTCCAGGCCAGTCTACGTGGAGGGCTGGGAGAAGCGCGACGACGTCACCGTGGTGGACATCCCTGGGGACTGCATCGGCTACATCACGGGTAACCGCCGCGCGACCATGGGGGCCATGGAGGAGGAGCTCCTCTATCTCCTCCATCTCCTCCAAATCCTCCTCCAACTCCTCCTTCTTCTCCTCCCCCCCCTCCTCATCGCCCCCCCCCTCTTCCTCCACTCCGTCCTCCCTCTCCTCCACCACATCCACCCCCTCCTCTTCCTCCTCCTCCTCCTCTACCCCTCCTCCTCCTACCTCCTCCTTCTCCTCCTCTTCCTCCTCCTTCTCCTCCTACCTCCTCCTCCTCCTCCTCTTCCTCCTTCTCCTCCTCCTCCGCCCTGGTTCTCCTCCTCATCGTCCATTTCTTCCATTTCTTCCTCGATCCGCTCCTCCTCCTCCTCCTGATCAGTTCATGTTCCTTATGGATAATTCCCCCATGTCGCACCCCGAGGCCGGTCGAAAGGGCGGGGACGTTTCGCTTGAGATTTCTTCAAAACCAATGATCCGAAGCTTACACATTGGCAATAGTTTCACGCATGGAGGGCGGGTGGTTTCAAATGCGGCTCTCGCCTAAGCGCCGCGCGCATTCGTTTTAAACATTTGCAAATTGTTTCGCGGATTGAGGTCTGGTGGTCTTCACAATGTGACTCTCGCCTTAGCGCCGCGAGCATTCGTCTTAAACAGTTGCAAGAGCTTAACGGACTGAGGTCGGCTCCTTGTCAAAATGTGGCTCTCGCCTTCAGCACCGCGAACATCCACTCTAGAAATTCGCACGAGTTTTGTGGATTGAGGGCGGGTGATTTTCAACATGTGGCTCTCGCAGTAGCGCCGCGCGCATTCGTTTTAAACATTTGCAGAGAGTTTCGCGGATTGAGGGTTGGTGGTTTTCAACATGTGGTTCTCGACTTAACGTCGCGCGCAATCGTCTAAACCATTGCAAGACTTTGGCGGGTTCTCGTGGTTAACGTACCTGAAATTGCACTTTGGAGCGTTTCAGGATTATCAGGGCGCGACAGTTACGTTGATTCGCGGTGTGTAATTCCCAGGAACGGCGTTCTGGCACGATTGAGGATCGCCAAGACGTAACAGTCAGGTTAAGTCGTGGCGTTGACGTCCTGAGAATTGTTTTTGGCCTTCAGGGATTTTACACGGTTGTCCCCCCAGCGGGGCAATCTTTCAGTGTAAGTGAACCCTTTCTTGGGCCTGTGAAGAGGGAGCTTGGAGCGAGTGTATATTCCAACATCGTTGATGAGTCTTCGCGTTGCACTGGTCCTTCTCCTCCTCCTCCTCCTCCTCCTGGTGCTCTTCCTCGTCCTCCCTCCTCCACGTCCTCCTCCGCTCTTTCTTCCCTTCCTCCTCCGTGTTCTGTTTCGGGGGGGCGGGGAAGAGGGGTGGGAGTGGCCCAGGTGTGCGCTGGGTGATGAGTATAGTATGTTGAGTGCGACGAAGGCCCTCGTGACGACCTCGCTGGGAAATGCACCTGGCAGGCCTGCGTGCGAACGCGGCCCGAAGTAGCCTTCCCTGGGGCCCAAATGCCCCAAAGACCCCACGACTGACGATAAGGTCCATGCAAACATCAATTCGCCATATGCATGATGGGCTTGTTTTCCACCACCACCATAAGTTGGAGGGGGAGAGGGTCCTCCTCCTCTTCCTTCGCCTCCTACTCCTCCTCCGCCGCCGCCTCCTCCTCCTCCTCCTCCTCTTCGTCCTCCTCCTTCTCGTTCTTCACCTCCTCCGCCCCTCCAACTTATGGTGGTGTTGGTGGTGGAAACAGGCTCAGCAATGCACGCTACCAAATTCACTGGCGGGAAGCTCGGTCCTCTGGCCACGTGGGGATGCCGTGGCCAGCGTCGTGGGGGCACGCGCCGACCTCGGCCGGACCTGGGGCCCTGGCAGGGCCCCGTGCCCTCGGTGCTGCCGGCTCCCGCCCTCGTGCACAGCGCCAGCGCTGAGATTCTCGAGCCGCGCAGAGTTTTTTGTATATATATATATGTATATATGATTCATACATGTGTATAAATATATACATATTTATATCCACATATAGACATATTAAACTGTATTTTTATTTTTGATAAACAAATTATTTGTATCATTACTATCACTATTACTATTACTATTGCTTTTAGTATTATTATTAAAAATAATAGTTTTATTATTATTACTACTACTATTATTATTATTATGATTATTATTATTCTTCGTAATATTATTGTTATTACTACTATTATTATTATTATTATTAGTATTATCATTATTACTATTATTATTATTATTAGTATTATAGTTTTGAATATTTTCCTTCGTCGGCGGCCAGGCAGAGTACGGTGGGGGCGTTGGCTCAGGAGTGTGCGCAGGAGGCCTCAGAGATCCTAGGGGATTCCTCCTCTGACGGCAGCGGCAGTGACATCCACGGCCAGTCCACGATGGGAGTGCCTCCGACTTCCAGGCCCTGGGTTCCTTCTCCAATGTGGCAGTCCTAGAGTCACACCAACACCAATATCGGCGGTGTGCCATCACCGAGGAAAGAAGATCCCGATTCCGGTGATGGTGGTCAGATTCTGGTTTTCAAGGTGGCCGAAGTATTACCACCAACGCCGAAATCCAGGATCAGCTTCCCCCTGTGAAGGAGCACCTCTGTGGTGGTGTTGGTGCCCACTTCCAGGCCTCTTGCAATGGCTCCTTATCCAATACCCTCACTGCAACTGCGCTGGCGGAGGAGCCAACTGAACGGGGACACCGCCGCAGCGCCCTCCCCCGCCCCCCCCCCCCCGCACGGGGGCACCGCTGCAGCGCCCCCCCCTCCGCCTTGCAGAAGCATCCACGTCCAGGCCCCAGGCGGTCTTGGCACCGAGGCGCCGTCCCGTGGGATGTGTCCCACGCGGGGCGTCCGCGCAACGCCGCCCTGCGTCCACGGTTGTCGTGTTGCCGTGAGGAGCGCTCCTCCTCCCTCCTCCTCCTCCCTCCTCCCCCTCCTCCTACTCCTCCTCCTCCTCCTCCTCCTCCTCCTCCTCCTCCTCCTCCTCCTGCCTCCTCCTCCTCCTCCTCCTCCTCCTCCTCCTCCTCCTCCCCTCCTCCTTCCTCCTCCTCCTCCTCCTCCTCCTCCAGCATCGGAAGCGAAGGCTGTTGTTCTGGTCACGGCGAGCCTTGAGCACCTGCAGGTTCCCCGCCCTGGGTCTGCGGCGTCCGGCGTCTTGAACACGGGGCTGTGGCCCGGAGTGCGGTCCGCGAGGCCGTGGATGTGAAGACGGTAGGCACACGAGGTAAGAGAATGGCTTGCCACCGGGTGCCCCACGGGAGCTTCTTGCACCCAGGTTGGCCCAGAGATTCCCGTGACACCCGCCTCGCGAGGCGCTAGGGTCGACGGCTGATGTGCCCTTAGACCTTTCGATGGCCCCCCGCACTGCCTCAGCGCCCCCCCCTCGTCGGGGGCAAGGTCAGGGGGGGATGCAGTCGGACCGCTGAAGGAACCCTTTTCTTTGGGGAGGGACTCAGTGTTACAGCTTGTCTGAGGTTTTCCGAGGTTTTTTCCATGGGAAGTCGAAGGTCAACTTATGAGAAGAAGGGGCTTCGTTCCTTGTGCAGGGCTCCTCATGACAGGGCCCGACTGTATGCTCTGGGGGGCACGCATCGCTTCACGATCGCCCGTTCATCGCCGATAAGGGGGCCCGATGGCCCATCCCGCCCAGGAGCGTGGGGGCTTGTCGCCCACTTACGTGTGATGCACCGCCGATTCACAAGCTCGATGTTTCCCCCCTGAACCTGTCCTCCCCGCTCGGGCTTCGGTTCACAACGCTGGTAAACATTCGCAAGAGTTTTGTGGATTGAGGGCGGGTGTTTTTCAAATGCTCCGCACATTCGTCTGAAACATTGCAAGAGCTTCACGAGTTGTGGGCGGCTCCTTTTCAAAATATGGCTCTCGCCTTAGCGGCGCACACATTCGTCTGAAAACTTGCCAGAGCTTCACGGCTCGAGGGTGGTTCCTTTTCAACACGTGGCTCTCGGCTCTGGCCTGAGCGCCGCGCACAGTTTTTTCTAACACTTGCAAGGGTTTCACATATGCCCACGGTTATTCACCAGAACTTAGATTTTGGAGACATTCAGGGTCATCATGGCGCAACAGTTATGTTGATTCTCGGAGTTGAAGTCCCAGGAATCGTGTTCTGGCACGATTCAGGATCGTCAGGACGCAACAGTCAGGTTGATTCGTGGCGTTGAAGTCCCGAGAATGTTGTTTTGGCACGCTTCAGGTTCTTCAAACGGCTGTCTCCCAACGGGGCACTTGCCTCAATGGAAATGCATCTTTGTAAGGGCCTATGAACAGGGAACGTGGAGGGAGGGTTTATTCCAACAGCGTTGATGAATCTTGGGTCTACACTGGTCCTTCTCCTTCTCCTTCTCCTCCTCCTCCTCCTTCTCCTCCTTCTCCTCTTCCTCCTCCTCCTCCTCCTCCTCCTCCTCCACCTCCCTCCTCCTCCTCCTCCTCCTGCTCCCCCCCGTCCTACCGCACCTTTTCCCCCCTGAACCAGTCCCACTGTCGTTCCCTGAGATCCGATGCTGCGAATAAAAACGGCATCACTGAAAGTCACGACCAGAGCTCCAGGCCCCATCTTTCGGCTGCATGTTCCAAGCCGCACCGAGTTGTGAAGGGGCCCAGAGCCCGAAGCAAGGCACACTCGCCCGTGGTGCAGCCGTTGCGACGTCGGGATCTCAGGGGTTGCCCCTCGCCCCAGGAGTGGGGAGTTCTGATGTTCTTCATGAACAAGCCCGGGGATGGCAAGGGCAAGGGCAGGGGCGGCAGCGAGATGCTCGCCATCTTCGGGGCGGACCGCGCTCGCCGAGGGGCCGAGCTCAAGGTGATGAGCGGCGTGGAGACGAAGAACCCGGGGGCCTTCACCAGGGGCGTCAAGGCGCTCCCTCCCTCCCTCCCCCCCCCTCCCCGTCCCCCCCTCCCCCTCCCCTCCTCCTCCTCCTCCTTCCTCCTCCACCTCCTCCTCCTCCTCCTTCTCCTCCTCCTCCTCCTCCTCCTCCTCCTCCTCCTCCTCCTCCCCCTCCCCCTCCCCCTCCCCCGACCCCGACCCGTCCCCCACAAGGGGCACAGGAAAGGTGCAGCACCCAGGGAGAGGGGGGCAGCGCCCAGGAAAGAGATCAGGAGGAGGCGAATAGAGAAAGAGAGAGAGGGAGAGCAGATGAGAGTGAGCGAGGGAGGGATGATGGAGGCAGGCGCAGGAGGAGGGAGGGGAAGCAGCCACAAACGAGAGGAGAAATAGTGGGAGGCGTCCAACCTTGAGCTCCTGGTGTCGGGCAGTTTTGCCGCCTCGGGCGACTCTGCCCTGCTTCGGGGCGCGGGGACCTCACGGATCGATCCGGCTGGAAAAACGCCGCAGAAAGGTGGGAGCCTTCACCCAGGGCGTCAGGGAGATCGGGGGCGGCCAGGAGGGGGCTGAGGGGGGGGGGAGCTTAGAAGGTTTTTTCGGATTGTACTTCGCATGTTTCCGATCGATTGCGGAAGTCTTCCGAGATTTTCGGGGCCTGGGCTGCTCCTGCGCCTCGTCGAGGGCGTTCCCGGGGTGCTTTGATCGTCCCGAACGGCCGCCGGAGGCCCGAGCTACGACTCGGAAGCCAGCAGGCGTCGAGGAGGGGGGCGTGAGGACAAGGGAGGGCAGGATGTCATGGCCAGGGCCACGAAATATCCCCGACTTCATAGCTCGATGGTCTTCCCGAGGTTCCCTGACATCTTCTCTTTGCAAGACCACGGCGGAGGGTTTTGCAAATTTTCAGTCTGCGAGGGCCCTCGCCGGGCCAAGGGACCCCGCCAAGTAACGACTCAGGATGCAAAGCCGGTCCTGGGGAAGGGGTCCAGACCTCTGGTAGCCACGTTGCAAAAAAAGAGGGAGCATGTCTGGGTCTGGGGGCAGGCCTTGACGTGAGGCCCCTCCTTCTGCCTTCCCCCATCTGTCAATTAAAGCTGTGCGCGGCCCGCTTAGCTTCGACTGGAAGAGGCTCGCTCTCGACCCGCGGATCAGAACATGTCTGGGTCTGGGACCACGAGGGTGGGATGCCATGGCCATCGTCATACAATGCCCCCGATTTCACGGCCCCCTCTTTCCCTTTCTGCGCTTCCCTTGGTTGGAGCTGGTTGTGTTGCGGAGGTGGCCTGGTTCCGGCCACCAGAAGCGGGGGGAGAAGGGGGCCCCTCGTCGCCATGGCTGGACGCGGCTCGATACTCTAGTCCGTTTGGACCCCCCCGCGCATGTGCCCTCACGCCTCCCCATCTTGACCCGCTTCCTCTGAGCCGATCCCGCTCAGACCTCTTCGGCCGCCTCCGATCCCGCGACCGGCCCCCTCCGTCTGTGGTCGTCCGCGCACGTGCCTTCCCCCCCCCCTTCTGGCGCGCACCCCGAGGAGAAGAAGTCCAGCGAGCGGGGCTTCGACACGGACCCCGGAGGCGAGAAGCCGGCACGAGCGTGCACAGCAAGACGCGCTGACGCCGCGGGGGCTCCCACAGCAGAGCGTGGTGTGCACGGCTTCGGCAGGGAAGCCACGTTTCGGCAACACCCCAACATACTTATACTATGTGTGCGTCGCCCCCCCAGGGGCGACGCGCGCACCGAGAAATCTTATAGTACATGCGTCGTGGCGGGCGCTTTTTGGCCACACCGCTCGGGAAACGATATACTACAAGATGGGTATACTATATGTTCGGGTCGGACGCGCGCCGCCAAGGAGGACATATAGTATTAGTATGTCCATGTGCGTCCCAACGTTCTGTCGTGTGGGCTCCGCGTCGGACCACGAAGACGAGAGGGCAGCACGAGCACGAGCACGAGCACGGGCTCTCGGAGGTCCGCGCGGACCCCTCGGGCCTCCTCCTCCTCCTCCCTCCTCCTCCTCCTCCTCCTCCTCCTCCTCCTCCTCCTCCTCCCCCTCCTCCTCCTCCTCCTCCTCCTCGTCGTTACCCTCCTCCTCCTCCTCACCCTCCTCCTCCTCCTCCTCCTTCTTTTCCTCCTCCAGTGAAGCAAGCAAATCGACTGGAGGGCTTCTGCTGTCATGGGGCCTCTGGGGGCCCGACCGTCAGAAAAAACGGCTCGGGAGGCATCGGCTTCGCGTAATTTCTGAGGCGGAGGATCTTCCTGCTCCTTCTCCCCCTCCCCTCCTCCTCCTCCTCCTCCTCCTCCTCCTCCTCCTCCTCCTCCTCCTCCTCCTCCTCCTCGACTCGGTGACCCTTCGCCAGAGTGATCTTCTGGTGCGGGCCCATCAGGCTCACCCTGAAAACGGCGGGCGCGCTTCGATTTGGCCTCCCCGCGGCCGCCCAAAGCCGCGCTGCAAAGGGCACTCCTGCCCAGGGGGCGCCTCTTGCGTGATGCCTCGGACCGAGGCGTACGATCGAGGTCGGTTCGGGGAGGGTGCCCTCGCGTTCTTCGTGTTCGTTGGATGTTCTTGTGCACCCTGGGGAGGGTACCCTTGGATGCTCTGCGCGTGTTGGCCAGCGGAGGGCCTCCTGCTCTTGAGGGGTGCTCCTCTGGCCCAGGTCCGACTGTGGCCGAGTGGAACTCAGGAGGGAAGACACGCAGACACAATTAATCCTCGATTCCCCAAGAACATATGGGAAAATATGGGAAGTGGGGGGGAAGACAGAAACCCAGAAAATATGGGAAAGTATGGGGAATCTTTTAATTTGTGTGTATTTATTGGGCTGGCCTCCGGCCAGTGCCGCCGATCCGGGGGGGTGAGACTTGGGGACGTCTTGGAGGTTTCTGGAACTGTCTTCGGGGCATCTTGGGCGGTTCGAGCGATGTTTCGGCGATTCGGGACCCTCTTGCATTGTCTATGGGGCCTCTGGCGCCTCTCTTGGTTTCCTCTTGGGCTGTCTTGGCCGGTCGGGGCTCTGGAAGTGGAGTTTTCTAAACCCCCTGTCCCCGGGTACCGAAAAACGTCGGAAATGACGTCGGAAGTATCCCCGTGTACCGAAAAACGTCGGAAATGACGTCGGAAATGACGTGCCCCCCCCCTCCCCTGCAGAGCGAAGCTTGAGCGAGCTCAGGTCCACGCTCTCAGAAACTCACGCGCCAGATCGGCGGATTCGTGTGTCCCCGGGGTCCCTTCCGAAGCGCTGGTCCTGGGGGCTGGGCCGAGACCTTCGGGGGTCGACGTGGTGGAAAAGGCATGGCGTCGGGAGTCCGCGGTCGGTGCTCCCCCCCCCTTCCCCCCCTGGCGCGCTGCGCTCGCCAGGCAAGGGGGAGGTTTCGCGCCGACCCAAAAAGTCCTCGCGGGCCTCCGAATGCGTCCCGTCGGGCCGAGGTATGAGATCGAGGTCTGTTCGGGGAGGGTGCCCCCTCGGGTTCTCCGTGTTCGTGGGATGCTCTTGTGCACCCATGGGGAGGGTGCCCTTGGATGCTCTGCGCGTGCTCTGGCCGACGGAGGGTCTCCTGCTCTCGAGACGTGCTCTTCTGGCCCAGGTCCGACGGTACTCCGGATTTCGATGGAGGGTGGGAGGGATGTTCTAAGGGGGTCCGGCCTGAGCTGTCGTGGGGGGTTCTGGGGCAGCAGGCCGCCCCGTCGTGGCCGCGCAGCCGGGGTGCCGAAAGTGCCCGTCCGGAAGGGTTTTGACGCCCTCGTCCTCCTCACGAGGTGCGACGCACAGAGGGTACTTACATCGAGAAAGAAAACGTCATGCACGAAGGTGCCCCACTGATCTGTTTGTTTAATCCCCAGATGGCCTCAAGGGCCCACAGAGGCCCTGGGGCATCTTAGACCCTCGAACGTGGACGAAGAGTGTGCCCCGATATTTCTTACAGCAGGATTTTGGTTCGTACGTCTTGTACTGCATGCTCTTGCCGGCTCCTCTGTTCCCAGGACCGCCTCATCTTCCGCGACGACGAGCTCAGCTACGCGCTCGGCAAGGAAGGCGCCACCCGGAAGAAGCTGGAGGGAGCCGCCGGGGCCATCCTGCAGTACGTGGGGCACTCACGGGCGACGAATGCAGACCCCCTCGCGTCGTGAGCGACATGGCGGCGGACCGTTTTTTTGGCCATCCCTGTCCGTTTGGGGGCCCTCGCTGAGCCTCGGCGCCGTCAAGAAACGCTTGGTGACGAAACGCCAGTCCCCGGGAAGGGGTCGAGGCCTCGGGGAGTCGACGTCCCGAAAGACCATTCTGTCGGGGGTCTGGGAGCATATCCGTGTCCATGCCCTCACGCTCTGTATCCTGGGGCGCGGTGCCTTAGATGCGTTCCGCGCGGGGCATCCCTTGAGATCCGACGCGGTGAACAAACATACAACGCGACAAAGCACGGCTAGAGCCTCACATCCGATGCCTCTGCGTCAGTTTTCGGGCGGGATCCACCTGGGAGGGTCCCTGGTCCCGAAGCTCGGCGAGAACGCCCTTCTCGCAGAAGTCGAGACGCCAGGAGTGCAAGGTCCGCACCGAGCAGCCCCGTGTCCATGGGGCCCTGGCTGGCGAGGCCGTGGCTGTGTCCGCCGCTAGAACATGTGCAAATCCACCGCTTCGGAGTCGCGCCCTGGGATCTGCAGGAGTGGTGGATGCGGACAGCTGCCCGCCCGCACGGGCGCGCAGCTGTCCACGTCCACCGCTCCCCGAGCCCCCTGGAGGACGACCCCGCGGCGGCGGATAGTCATGGGCATACTGTATCCTGGCGGCCCGTGTCGGCCACGCGCAGAAGGGGGGGGTAGGGGGAGGGGGGAAGGCTTCTCAGGAGCATCCCTGGCTCTTCTAAGGCGTGGGCCTTGTCCATAGATGCAGGGCAGGCGCCTTCTAAGAAGCAGCCTCCTTCTGAGGAGCCTTCCCCCCTCCCCCTGCCCCCCTCTGCGCGAGGCCCATGCTTTTCGGGTCATGGCTTGGGGCTCCGACGGCCGTTCGGGACGATCCGGGCGCCCCTGGAACGCCCTCGGCGAGGCGCAGCCGCTGGAGAGCATCCCGAGGCTGGACAGCCGCCGAGAGCCGTCGAGGACCGATCATAAGCCTCCTTCTGAGACGCCCTTCCCCCCTCCCCTCCTCTCCCCCCCGTGCCCGCCGCCAAGCATGGCGGACGCACCCTCCGTCCGCGAGGCACGTCGCCTTCATCGCCGGCGACCTGCCTCAGCGGAGGCGCTGCAGGGAGTTCATCGACTGGCTGCTGCAGCAGCGGAAGGGCTCCGTCACCATCGCCGACGTCACGGAGCGCGAGGAGTCCAGGAAGAAGAACCCCCAGACATGCTCGCGTCGTGACAAGAATCACGGCGGGAGGTTTTCGCCCGTTTTCGGCTTTGCATGAGGATGAATGTTTGGAGGGCCGTGTGGAGTTCGTGGAGCTGCTCTGGACCCTTCTGGCCGCGCCTCTGGCGCTGCCCCCTCCTTTCCCCAGGGCTGGCTTTCCATCCCGAGCCAATTTTTGACAGTCCTGAGGCTTGGCGAAGACCCCCAGAAGCCAAACACGTAAAAATAAACCCGCCGTGATTTTGTCACGATGCGAGCATGTCCAGGGCTTCTTCTCCCTCGAAGGACACCACGGAGATGCACATCCCCGAGAACTGCAAGGGCTGGGTGACTGGCAACCGCGGCTCGGAGCTCCGCCGCATGGAACAGGAGACGGGCACGTTCATGTTCATGGCGCTGGACTCCAGGCAGGGCTGCTCACGGCCCATCCGATGCGATCCTCAAATTTTGATCCCGGCCTCGTCCCCAGACATGCTCGCGTCGTTCTGTAGGTTCATGAGGCGTTGGCGCGTAAGCGACGCTGGCGAAGGCGTTCAAGGTTGAATTCTGCGACGCGGAAGCACCGATGGACACGGCAATGCCATTGGACCCGACTGAGTTCACCTTTGAACGATCGGGGCCGCGATCGATTCAAGGCTGAACGATCGACGCGGTGTCAAAAACCTTTGCGCCCGCCGACGCCGCACGAACCGATCGTAGAAAATCACGGCGTTTGGTTTCTGGCCGTTTCGGCCTCCTGGAGCTCTCGTCGGGCCCCGGGACCGTCGAGGGACGGCTCGGGATGCAAAACCGGCCCGAGGGAAAGGGTCGGCACTTCTGGGGACCGCGTACAGTGGGGGCGTCCGTGAAGGAATGTGCCCAGGGGGCTTCAGGCCCTGGAGGTTTCCTTATCTGATGAGGGCGGCGGTGATATCCATGGCCAATCCACGACGATTGGAGTTCCACCGGCTTCCAGACTCTGGATTCCTTATCCAATGCTTCCTTATCCAAAGCCTTCACCGTATCAACAAAACATCCTCTTACCCAGGGTCACTCTTGGGCGTAACCGATGTATCAACAAAAGTCAGGACACCGCATGTCTGGGATCCGATCCCGCAGCTTCGCTTCCGATCTCGCCTCCGATCCGGCACGAACCGACGCCCTCTCTCCGATTTCGATCTCGATCCGATCCGACCCAGCCCTGGCACTGCCAGGGTTCAGTCGGGCCTGTCCCCCTACAGGGGGAAGATCCAAAAAGAGTCAAAAAATAGTCCGGGGACGATTTTTTGGACCCTCTTTGACAATTCTGGGGTATATTTTTTGGGGGGGGGTATTTTTTCCTTCTTCGCCCAGAGTCCGCCTCTGGGGGGACGCGCCCGGCTTCATGCCAGGGGCACGGAGCGGCTGCTCATCTTCTGCCACGACGCGGGCAGCAAGGCCCCGCGGGCACCGCGCCCTCCCCTCGAGCTCCGGGCGCTCCCGCCCCACACGCTTCGGGCCCTGGGCGCGGCAGGGGCCGAGCCGGGAAGTCCAGAGGCGGAACTCGTGCTGGCACCGCTGCCCTGGGGCACTACCCCCAGGGGGAGGAGGAGGAGGAGGCAGAGGAGGAGGAGGAGGAGGAGGAGGAGGAGGAGGAGGAGGAGGAGGAGGAGGAGGAGGAGGAGAGGAGGAAGAGGATGAGGAGGAGGAGGAGGGGAGGAGGAGGAGGAGCAGAGGAGGAAGAGGAGGAGGAGGAGGAGGAGGAGGAGGAGGAGGAGGAGGAGGAGGAGGAGGACTTCGGGGCCTCTTGGGGCCTGCTTGGGGGGCCCTCGTCGCCACGCATTGGATCCGCGTCGAAGTTCCGGTCAGAGCGCACCCACGGCTCGGCCTCGTGACTTTGGGCGATGCCGTATCTTTTTCTGCGGCGCCGCATCTCAGGGCTGGCACCACGGCCATGCCCGGCAAGGGCCATCCTGACCTCCCCCCCTGACTTCGGTGGCTTATTCTCAGGTTTGCAATGTGTTATATATATAGAGAGTATTCTTCCCCTGAGCGGTCCTCGCCTTTCCCCCCCCCACCCCCCTTCGGCCGCCTGCCCTCACATTTTTTTTTTTTTTCTCTCTCTCTCTCTCTTTCTCTTTCTCTCTCTCTCTCTCTTGCACTGTGGCACAATTCGCTTCCACGGTGCCCCCGTTCAGTGGGCTCTTCCGCCAGCGCAGTTGCTCCGCCGAGCCGCCGACCGACGCCAAAGAGAGACAGAGAGAGAGCGAGAGACAGAGAGAGAGACAGAGTATACATATAACGGCGCACCTGGTCCGGGGGCCGGGGCCGGGACCACGACCACAAATGTGGGGACCGGGGGCTCTGGAGGCGCCGGAGGCCCACAGAATGCCATTAGAAAGCGCCAGGAGAGCCCCAAGACGCTCCAAGAGAGACCGGAGACACCCAAAGGTCGCTCTAAGACGCCCAGCATTGCCTCCGGACGGCTTCAGAAGCCCCCAAGACGCCCCAAAAGGCGTCCAAGCCGCGCCCGAAGAGATCTCCAAAAGGCAAAACTAGCCCCGTTCCCTTCGTAAAACGTATATTTTTACTACATCAAGTGTTTTCGCTGCCGTACAGTTCATGACGACGCCGGAGGCCCCCAAGACAGCCCCAAGCCAGCCCAAGAGGCGCCCCAGAGGGCCCCAAGACAGCCCAAGAGAGCCTCAAGACGGCCCAAGAGGCGCCCAGAACAGCCCAAGTGCGGCCCTGAGGCCCACAAAAGGCTACCAGAAAGGACTCGGGACGTTCCAAACGCGACCCGAGACGCCCAATGGTCGCACCAAGACGCCCAACATCGCCCCAGACGGCTTCAGAAGCCGCCAAGACGCCCCAAAAGGCCTCCAAGACGCGCCCGAAGAGATCTCCAAAAGGGCAAAATAGCCCCATTCCCTTCGCAAAACGTATATTTGTACTACCTCAATTGTTTTCGCTGTCGTATAGTTCTTGACCACATCAGAGGCTCCCAAGACCGCCCCAAGACAACCTAAGTGGCGCCCCAGAGGGCCCCAAGACAGCCCAAGAGAGCCCCAAGACGGCCGATGAGGCGCCTAAAACAACCCAAGTGCGCCCCTGAGGCTTACAAAAAGCTACCAGAAAGGATTTAATACGCCCAAAGGTCACCCAAGACGCCCAACATTGCCTCCAGACGGCTTCAGAAGCCCCCAAGACGCCCCAAAAGGCCTCCAAGACGCGCTCGAAGAGATCTCCAAATTGCAAAAATAGCCCCATTCCTTTCGTAAAACGTATATTTTTACCATATCAATTGTTTTCGCTGTCGTACACTTCTTGACGACATCGGAAGCCCCCAATACTACCCCAAGACAGCCTGAGAGGCGCCCCAGAGGGCCCCAAGACGGCCCAAGAGAGCCCCAAGGCGGCCCAAGACGCGCCCAAAACAGCCCAAGTGCGCCCCTGAGGCCCACCTACTGGATTTGGCTCAGGACTCTCGTGATATCAGAGAAGGTACGAACACCGTTTTTATATTCAGCTGTCTGCGGCATGCCCCGCCACCGTGCCAGCGCAGCTCTTGTGACACCTCTTGTCTCTATTGAAGACGCCCCAAAACAGCCCAAGTGCGCCCCTGAGGCCCACCTACTGGATTTGGCTCAGGACTCTCGTGATATCAGAGAAGGTACGAACACCGTTTTTATATTCAGCTGTCTGCGGCATGCCCCGCCACCGTGCCAGCGCAGCTCTTGTGACACCTCTTGTCTCTATTGAAGACGCCTAATGCGAATCACCACCGCCCCCTTGCCTTATTGGAAACGTTTATGTGGCCAAACGTTGGGCCAAAGTTTGTCCAAGGTATTGGGCTATGTGTTCCCACAGCCGTTGTGGAAACCCCTGGGGAACACTTGGGGGAGGAAGAGGGAGAGGATTAGACGCAGGAGCAAAAGGTGGAGGAGGAGGAGGAGGAGGAAGTAGGCCTCTCGGGGGCCTCCTGAGGGCCTCCGCCGCCCATGTCTATATACGTTTATATATATATATATATATGTCTCTCTCTCTCTATATATATATAGGTGTAGGTGTATATACCATATATTTGTATACAACTCATATATCTGTATATATATATATATATATATATAGATCATACGCACCTCTCAGAGGGAGTAGAGCTCAGAGGCGATTCATGCGTACGCGGGGCGCCGCGTCCGCGATTTGTTTTACCGTTCCGCTAGGGACATCCTCGACATTCTGAAAATCTGTGGCACCCCTCACGCAGATCGTGACGTCAGGGTCCAAAAACACATGGCAATGTCAACATTTTAACACAACACCTTCAAAAACATATGATAATTTCAATAATGTTGACCCCGATTCTCGGAGAATGGCGGTTTCGCCTGAAACATCCTCCCAACATCGAGCCCCGACGTACCCTCTGGTGCCCCAGACCCCGCCTCGGAGCCTCCTGGGGGCCTCCTGGAACCTCCTGGGGCCTCCTGGGGCTTTTTGAACCTTCTGGTACCCCAGACCCCGCCTCGGAGCCTTCTGGGGGTCTCCTGAAACCTCCTGGGGCCTCCTGGGGCCTCCTGCGGCCTCCTGGAGCCTCTTGGGGTCTCCTGAAACCTCCTGGGGTCTCCTGGGGCCTCCTGAGGCCGCCTGGGGCCTCCTGGAGCATCCTGGGGCCTGAGAACTACATGCACACACAGAGACACACATCACGCCCAACACATCACACGCTAGACAAACATAACACACACACAACACCTACAACGCACATAAAACACGCACAACACACAGCACACATCACACACAACACTCACAATCATGGGGCCTCCTGGAGCCTCTTCTGGTATCCAAGTCGGGCCTGAGGCTTCCTGGGGGGCCCTGGTACACACATCGCAAGGCGTGGCAACCCCACTTGCGCTCGAGTGCGACTTCGCTGTTGCATTTCACTCCTGCTTCAAACGCCCCTTCAGTTTTTTCTATGTTCCTGGACACACACACGTGCCACTTGTGTGTGTGTGTGTATATATATATATATATATATATATATATATATATCATATTGCATATAAATACATACCGCCCCCCCGGCCCCGGGTGCCACACCTCCCCGCCACATCTCGGGGACGCTCCCGGTACCGCTCCCCCGGGCGTTCCGGGGAGCCTCCACAGCGCTCCAGGAGGGCCCAAGACGACTCCCAGGAGCGCCCAGAATGCGAAAGGATGGTCCAAGACGCTCCCAAGCAGCCCAAGTCAGCCTTCCGACGGCTCTCGAGGCTCCCAGGTAACCTCCAAGATACCCCAAGAGAGGTCCGAGAGGCGTCCCGGGACAAAGGCCAAATCGTAGATTTCCATTGGTGTGTGTTCAATGTTTTCGGCTTCTCGCGTTTTCGAGCTTCCAACGGTCCAAGAGCGCCGAAGAGGCTCCCAAGACCGCCCCAAGACCACCCAAGAGACCCTGAGGACGGCCCTAAGATGGGCCAAGAAGGCTCCAAGACTGCCGAAGAGGCGCCCAGGACAGCCCCAGACAGACCACCCCAGAACAGGCCCAAGATGGGCCCAGGAGAGGGAGCAGGAGGCTTCCAGAGACCTCCGAGAGGCCTCCGGGACCCCCCAGAGGCCTCCGGGACCCCCCAGGGGCCCCCAGAGGCCCCAAAAGACCCCTTCGAGGCTCCAAGAACAGCCCAAGAGAGCTGCGAGAGCCGTTCCGAGAGAGCCCAAAGAGGGTAGAATCGTTGATTTCCAAATGGTTGTTCTGATGTTTTTCGCCTTCTCACGTTTTCCCGCTTCCAACCCTCGAAGATCGAGGATTTTGGAAAAGAAGGGAATTCCCAGAATTCCTGTAAAGTGGGACTCCTACGCGGGGGTCCTACACATCTCCTAATATCTGGCCGGTACCGCACTTCCTGGCTTCCCGAAGGGAGACCCCAAGACGCCGAAGGACAGCCCATGACGACCCCAAGGAGCCCCCAGAACGAAAAGAACGGCCCAACACGCTCCCGCGCAGCCCGAGATACCCTTCTGACGGCTCTCCAGGCCTCCAGGAGGCCTCCAGATCCCCCAGGGGGTGCGGAAGATCCCACACCCCTGAGGGGCCCAGCTAACAAAACCCGCGAGGCACAAACGAAAAACAGCGCCGCCGAGGAACCGGAAAACACGGAAATCCCACAATTCCTTTCTTTTTCAAAATTTGGCCCCCGGTCTACTCTTGCACAACAGACCACAATTCAGACCCCTTTCACCTCTGAGAAAAGAGCCCAGGAAGCATTTGAGGGCCCCAAATCGTTGAATACCTGAAGGAAGTTAATGATTTCTGCGTTTCCGCACTTCCCCTTCTACGATTCCGAGGCTTGCGCAGGGCCTCCAAGGGCGTCCCTGGACGCAAGAAGCGACCAAAATGAGATTGCATGAGTTAGCCTATCAAGTCTGGCTAGAACTTGAGCGCGCGCGAAGCGCGCGCGATGGTTCTAGTGTTTGTATGTGCGTGTATATGGGTGTGTGTGTGTGTGTGTGTTCGTGTGTGTGTGTGTTCGTGTGTGTGTGTGTTCGTGTGTGTGTGTGTGTGTGTGTTCGTGTGTGTGTGTGTGTGCAGGGCTGAACCTAAACAGTGTTTTTTGTTTTCGTTTTGTTATCGCGTTCCCTCGTTTCGTCTTCAAATCCGCCTTTGGCGCAAAACGACATCGGAACGACACCGGCCCACGAAATCGCCCAGACACCGTTTAGGTCCACCCCTGTTTGTGTGTGTGTGCGTGTGTGTGTCTGGTGTGTGTCGGACGTGCGCCCCAAACGATGCGAAACATCAGGGCGGAAGCTCCCGCCTCACATCAGCTCTAGCGCTCCCTCGACGGACCGTCCAGAAGCTTCTGCCGCCTCGCTCTCCAGGCCTTGTACACCACAACTGCACCCCAAACGATGCGAATAAGTAGGGCGGAAATTCCCGCCTCAGAGAAGTAGGGCGACTATTTCCGCAAAGGTATGGCGGGAACGGCGACGGCAAGGAGGGCGGGAATCAACACCGAGGGAGCTTGACAAGCAGGGCGGGAATTTCCGCCCTAATTTCGACGTCGCCCACAACGTACGGCGGATCCGACGTCAGCGCCACGATGGCGCACACGACCCTCCCGGCCTCGGCCAGGAGGGCGCGTGCACCATGTCAGGGCCCAGGGTGGCACGGTGAGCGGTGGATGGCGCGAGCTCCCTCTGCGCAGAGGTGAGCCCCAGGGGCCGCATGGCGGCCGAGCGCCTGGTCAACGAGATGATCCAGGATCGGCCGCGCGTCAGACCCAGACCCCTTCGCGCGGTGAACAGAATCTCGACGGGAGGCTTTTCGCTATTTCCGGCCTCTGGGGGCCCTCGCTGGGCCCCAGGGACCGCCAGTAAAACGATGGTTCAGGATGGAAAACCGGTCCCGGGGAAGGTCAGCACCTACCAGACATTCGAGGGCCAAGTCTACCTGCTTCTAGAAAACGAATGTCTGGGGCCAGTGCCACATCACCGTTCTCACGTTCTAGCCACAAGCGCCTATGGAAACATGGGGTGCCCTGACGTCTGTAGACGCATTGGGGGTGGATAGCGCAGTACAGGGTCGCAGAAAGGGTAGATCCGTCTAGGGTATGTTCTTGTTCTAGAGCAAATCCCACATGGTACTCCAAACCAGACATACTTATACTATGTGTAGGGCGACGCGCGCGCCGCCGAGAAGTCTTGTAACAGAAGCTCCGTTGGCGGGCGCTTTCTGGCCATACCGCTCGGGAAGCGATCTACTGCAAGATGTTTGTTCTATATGTTCGCTTCGAACGCGCGCCTCCGAGGAGGGCGCAAAGTACACTAGTATGTCCTTCCGTGTCCCAGAAGGGGTCGAGACCTCTGGGGGTCACTTTGTGAAAAATCATGACGTCGGGGGTCTGTGGAGTGGTCCTTCCCCAGCATGGCCGTTGGTTCTCGGCTTTCGGGGCGCGCGCGGGGGAGGGCACACCCATAGGGGCAGCCTGACCGACCCCTGACAAACCGATCCCTCCTGTGACGACCCACTCGCATCGCTCCAAGACGTGGGCAGGCGGCCTGAGAGGAGCCTCGAGGGTGAGGATGTTGTCACGGACCCAGACCCCCCCGACGTTATGTTTTCTTTCCGGCTTTTCCTCCCGAGCAGTTTTTCAGCGGTCCCGAAGCCCGGTGAGGGCCCCCCTGAGGCTGAAAGCGGTCAGAAATCTCCCGTCTCGATTTTTCACGGCCCGAAGGGGGGTTGTCACGAAAAGGAGGAGGAGGAGGAGGAGGAGGAGGAGGAGGAGGAGGAGGAGGAGGAGGAGGAGGAGGAGGAGGAGGAGGAGGGGGAGGGGGAGGGGGACGAGGGAGCTCTGTGAGCAAGCCGCCCCTGACGGCCCCAAGGTGACGGGCGCCGCCGCCCAAGGCCCGGACGCCGCCACCCAAGGCGGCCCAGTGTGCCCTCTCACGACGGCCCGACAGGCCAGGGCGCTCCGAGGGCCCGCGCCAGGGGCTCCGCGAAGCCTTAAGGCGGACCTGTCCCCCAACAGGGGGATATCCTCGACGAAAAATAAAATACCCCCCAAATGGTCCAAACATAGTCTGGGGATTTTTGTTGTTGTTGTTGTTGTTGTTGTTGTTGTTGTTGTTGTTGTTGTTGTTGTTGTTGTTGTGGTTGTTGTGGTTGTTGTGGTTGTTGTGGTTGTTGTTGTTGTTGTGGTTGTTGTTGTTGTTGTTGTTGTTGTTGTTGTTGTTGTTGTTGTTGACCTTTTTGGGGCGCCCGACTCAAGCGAAGCCCCCTCTCCCCCGAGCGGCTCGCCGCCGGCAGGAGAAGCTGCGCGACGACGGCGGCCGCGGCCGCTCGGACAGCCGCGGGCGCTCGCCCTCGCGCAGGCCGGGCGCTGCTCAGCGGGGTGGCGGTAGAGGAGGCAAGGATGCCAGGGTACCCGTGGGCAGGTTGCCCGCCCTTGTCGTGCGGGTCGACCGTAGGCCGAGACCCCCTCGCGTCCGTGAAGAGAAGTGTCGCCGCGCCGTCTGTTCCGACGAGCGGCCTCGCGCCTTGGGAAGCAGCGCCTCTCACCACCCACCAAACCACCCCAACCCAACCCGAAGGCCTCAATTTGCCCTCCATTTCCAGTTGGGGGGGGTCGGGGAACACTGAACAAACACATATGTAACCCGTACCCCCCCCAACCCGAAATTGGGGTCTTCGGGTTGGGTTGGGGTGGTCTGGTAGGTAGTCAGCCTCGGCCACCGGGGCAAGCTCCGCCTCGGCACGCGGTGGGTTCGCCGTGGGGTGTGCCGTCGCGGCGCCGGCTGCGTCTCCTCGGGGCGCGGGACGCGGGGTGTGCCGCGGGTTTGCCGCGGTGTCGGCGTCTCGTCCCCTTGGGCGCGTCGAGGGCAAGCCACGCGGCGCGGCGCGTCGAGGGCAATCGGCGCGGCGACAAGCGGCGGCGGGAGGTTTTCTGCTAGGTTCGGCCTCTGGGGGCCCTCACGTGGTCAACGGCGCGGGATGGAAAGCCGGCCCCCGGGGAAGGGGTCCAGACCTCCGTGGGTCATGTCGCGAGAAACCATGACGTCGGGGGTCCGGGCATGGGGTCGGAGGATCGGCTCGACGTGGAGCCCGCTTTCTCCACACGCCGACGTCGCCGACTCGTCGCCGATGCATCGCCGGCGTCGCCGGTGCATTTCCGATGCGCTGCAGCTGCATCGGCGATGCGGCGCGATCCTCCGACCCCGTCGGCTCGGGCCCTCCCTACACGTTGTGCATGTCGAATTCTTCGACCGCGCTTTGATTTTTTTGGGGGGCAAGATCCTTTCATTTCTGATTGTTCCATGCCTGGCCTCTTCCTGGCCACCAGGGGGCCAGGAAAACAATTGGAAACGAGCACAACAAGAAATGAGCACGATTAGACATGAACGACGTGTGCAGTGGGGGCCCATGCCAAGAAACACCCTGCTTGCCTTCATGGTGCCCCGGGTTTCTTGGGTTTCGATGGTTTTTGCTACGGGAAGCGTGACGTTCACCGTGGAAGGCTTCTGGTGGAAGGTTTCTCGTGGACTAGCCTCCGCTGTAAACTTTTTGGGCGGTTCGCGCGGACCGTCAACAGTTCAGGCTTATGCCATGTTTTGCTCCCCAGCCATCTCCCGAGCCGCGTCGATCCGCGAGGGCCCCTGGGGGCCCCACGCCGCGCGAGCGGGCCCCGGCTCGGAGACATGGAGGCGCCATGATCTCTGGGTCTCGGGACCCCTCTCCTCGGCAACGTCTGTCAGGGGCCGCGTTCGAGCTGGACAGGCTCGGGGGTGGGGGGGGGGGGGACGCCTCGGCCCGCGATCGCCCACTCGTCGCCGATCAGGGCCCGAGAGCCATCCCCCGCAGAAGAGCGTGCGGACGCGCTGTTGTGGGCCTATCGCCGATCCATCGGCGACGTAGCGCCGATGCCAGCTCGGTCTTTCTCGCCTCCCCGACTTCGGATCCGCCATGTTTTTGGGCGATTTCGAGGAGGGCCGAACTTCCCGCTCTACTTTCCAAGCTCCTTTGCGGCCGATCTCTGCCCTACTTTGTCGTCGCCGTTTCCGCAATGCCTTTGCTGAAACATCCGCCTTACGTGTCTGAGGGGGAATCACAACGATACTTTTTCGCATCGCAAGGGGTACATTTCCGACACGATTCTGAGTCGGAGAATTTAGGAAACCACGTCGGATCCGAAGTTAGGTTAGGGGGGGCAGTTATTTTCGCCCAGGATCCATTCGTGATCGCCCCGGGGCCCGAAAGAGGTCCCCGGGGGCCAAAATCGAGGAAACAACGCCGGTCGACAAAAACCACATCGTCTGGGATCTGGGGTGCCACGGGGAGGAAGAGGGCCGCAACGAGGAGGGCCGAAGACGGCCCCAAGGGCCGCTGTCGAGGACAATCCGCCCGAGACAGGGCACGAGGCGGAAGAGGCTTTGAGATCCGACGTTGCAGAAAGTGGAAGCATCGTCAAGCCCGCAGGCCATTAGCCGCCCGGCCTCCGCTGCTTGCGCTGCCTCTGCTTAATTCCCCATATCCTAAGATGGGGTTCTTGTTATTACTTGGACGCCTCCTACTCCTCCTCCTCCTCCTTCCTCCTCCTCTTTTCTCCTCCCCTCCTGTCGGACATACTCAGACTTGCTCATACACAGACTTACTCATACTCAGACTTACTCATACTCAGACCTACTCATACTCAGACTTACTCACACTCAGACATACTCATATACAGACTTACTCATACACAGACTTACTCATACACAGTATTAGTCATACCCAGACGTACACATACACAGACTTACTCATACACAGACTTACTCATACTCAGCACCCCTAAGGGGAGCCGCCAGGGGTGGTTGCACGGGCTCGTTCGCGGCCATTTTGTGGGGATGTCTCAGGCGGTTTGCCTGTTTCTGTGCCCAACATCCTTCGCTTTCGGAGCAGATTTGAGGATGTCTCGAGCGAGGCGCTCATTTCAGCACCCCTAAGGGGAGCCGCCAGGGGTGGTTGCACGGGCTCGTTCGCGGCCATTTTGTCTCAGGCGGTTTGCCTGTTTCTGTGCCCAACATCCTTCGCTTTCGGAGCAGATTTGGAGGATGTCTCGAGCGAGGCGCTCATTTCAGCACCCCTAAGGGGAGCCGCCAGGGGTGGTTGCACGGGCTCGTTCGCGGCCATTTTGTGGGGATGTCTCAGGCGGTTTGCTTGTTTCTGTGCCCAACATCCTTCGCTTTCGGAGCAGATTTGGAGGATGTCTCGAGCGAGGCGCTCATTTCAGCACCCCTAAGGGGAGCCGCCAGGGGTGGTTGCACGGGCTCGTTCGCGGCCATTTTGTGGGGATGTCTCAGGCGGTTTGCCTGTTTCTGTGCCCAACATCCTTCGCTTTCGGAGCAGATTTGGAGGATGTCTCGAGCGAGGCGCTCATTTCAGCACCCCTAAGGGGAGCCGCCAGGGGTGGTTGCACGGGCTCGTTCGCGGCCATTTTGTGGGGATGTCTCAGGCGGTTTGCCTGTTTCTGTGCCCAACATCCTTCGCTTTCGGAGCAGATTTGGAGGATGTCTCGAGCGAGGCGCTCATTTTCACCCCCCAGGTGGGCCAGATTTTGAGGATGTCTCGATCGGTTTGCTAGTTTTGGTGGCCAGGCTCGTGGGCGCAGATTCTTCTCAGGATGCCACAGGAGGCTCCAACAGGCTCCAGGAGGCTCCAGGAGACCACATGAGGTCCCAGGAGGCATCAGGAGGCCACAGAAAGACTCAAGAGGCCACAGGATGTCCCAAGAGGCTCCAGGAGGCCCCAGGAAGCTCCAGAAGGCCTCAGGAAACCACAGGAGGCCCCAGGAGGCAACAGGAAGCGCCAGGAGGCCTCGGAAGGCAACAGGAGGCCCCGAGAGGCCCCAGGAGCAGGAGGCCTCAGAAGGCAACAGGAGTGGCTCCAATCCCATGTGTTTTACGTATGCTCCTATCGATTGGGCCTCACCTGGAGCACGATTCTTTGATGTTCTACGTATGTTTCTATAGATGGTCCTTCTCCTGTGTACACAATCCTAAATGTTTTACTCATGTTCCTATGTATTGGGCCTCTCCTGGGGCACGAGTCCTTGGTGTTTTACGCGTGTTCCTATAGATTGCCCTTCTCCTGTGGCTCTAATCCGCAATGTTTTATGTACGTCTGTTGCTATAGATTGCGCCTCTCCTGGGGCACGAAACCTTCCTAGGAGGTCCCAGGAGGTCCCAAGAGGCTCCTGGAGACCCCAGGAAGCCCCAGTAGGTTTCAGGAGGCCCCAGGAGGCCCCAGGCTCATGCACAGAGACGCGCTCGTACTACTGAGGCTCATTCACACTCCAATTCATTCGCAGTTAGATTGATGTCCAGACCGTCACAACTGAAGCCCGTTAATATTCGAAAGCTCTTGCGCCTAGACATTCACGGCGGACAGGTCCATGCGAGTAGATGCACATATGGGGAGCTCCACGCAGTGAATAATTAGTCTTTGCGTAGCCCGCTTTGACCTGACTCGCCGCCGCGGTGCTCGTCCGCGGCCGCTGACTAAACAAGCCCGAAGGTTGCCCCCTGACCCAGGCCCCCGACGTCGTAGCTTTTTGTCCTTGGAGTGGCCCCCAGAGGTCTGGACCCCTTCCAGGGGGGCCGGCTTCTCGGCCCGAGCCGTCCTGTGACGCTCCCGAGACCCGGCGGGGGCCCCTGGAGGCCCCAAATCAGTGAAAAACGGCGAAACGCTCCCCCGAAAACGACCCTGCGACATACCCGAGGGATGGTATAAGGTGTGCAAGGGATGGTATAAGGTGTGCGGGCAATCGTGTGACAACACAGCAACACTGCACGAGACGGTACACGGCGGAGATCTGTGCCGTGCGAGGTGTGCATGGGCGCTTCGCAGAACAGATACACGAGGCCAGGAGGCGTCGTACCGGGAAGGAGAAGCAGAAGGGAAGACGTCCGGGTGGAAGAGCAAACACTTCGGCAGAAGCAGCGAGATGATGGAGCATGGGCAGGATAAGGCTACACACTGCTGAGTTCTAATTCTTCAAGAATTCTTTATTTTTGGGGACAAAAGGGCCAAGGTCCTTTCATGTCTAATTGTTCTACCCTGGGCCTCTTCCTGGCCACTGGGGGGCCAGGAACAATTAGAAACGAGCACAATTAGAAATGAGCACGATTAGACATGAACGACGTGTACATAGGCGGAGACGCAACCAGACAATGAAGTGCCGCGCTTTTCCGTGCCGAACTGCTCAGCACCTGCGCGGCCAGCGCTCAGCGCTGCTGCAGCGCCTCGGAAACTTACGGGCTCCCGCTGCTAATGTAAAACGCGGTCAGGGCCAAGCTCGGCCGCCAGCCTCTCCGCTTCCTCCGTGCACCTCTCAGTG